TCTGTGGAAACCTTTTTTTGTGGGAGGGAGGTGATATCTGCAGAATCTTACTGGTTTGATGCAGACACAAAAAGTTTCTGAAAGCTTTACAGTCTGGAACAAAACAGAACTCTAAGGGTATATACCCAGGATAAGGGTGGCATATACCCTGGGAGAGGACAGAGAGCAGTGGGGACTGACAACTCTGTCTTGCCTCTCATTTGCTTCATCTTCCCCTCAGGTCACCCCCATCTGCATGCCACCCCATCTGCATGCCACTCATTTCCAAGATGAGTCCCTGGTCCTTCTATCTCCACTTTTGGACTTCATTTTCCTTCCCTCACTGTGGAGCTGGATAATGCAGTCTGCTTTCCTTCCTTTCCCTTCTCCCAGCCAGAACTCACCAGATGGATTCATTTATTTCTCTTTCAGAAGATGTCTGTGAAAAATATCTCTGCCAAGGGGCTCATCCAAGCTGCCAGGGTGTGGTGGGGAGCCAGATGCTTCGACCCCAGCCTATCCCCACCAGCCACAAGCCTGTATGGGCTCACATTAAAGTTGTTTAAAGTTTTAACCACCTCTGTGTGAGTTGATTTTGAAAAAAGATTAACCCTTAAGAAGGGTTGGGTCAGTTTTTTCTGAAGGTATGAAGGCCTTGTAAAGCCCATTCACAGGTTCCATCACTCCCCATAGCCCCTTGTGGACATTATCCTAGGGCCCACAGCCAAAAAGGCAGAGCAGGAGAGGAAATTCGGTGTTTTCCCTCGATCCCAGCATGTCCCCTGCATTCAACCATGGATGGATCCACACAGCCAGTCTTCAGTGTGGGCTGAAGTCCAGTTGTCATTAACCTGAGGGACATGACCAAATACCCCTCTCTTAATAAAGAGCCCAAATTCAGCACAGTGAACCAGCCTGAGAGGCATCATGTGGAAATCACTGAAACAAGTATGAAGTTATAGGAATCCAAGTCAGATAGGAGCATGTATTTACCTGGAATGGAAGAACCACCACCATTGATGCAACACAAGATACTCTGGTCCCTGTGGAGGCTGGTGCAGTTTCTCATGTCAGAGGTGACAGCTACCCTGGCCAGAGTAAGAGAGAAAAGGCAGCAAAAGGATAAAAATAACTTTTTTTTTTCCCCCAGAACATGTGACAAGGAGCAGCATTTCACCACAGCAAAAACACTAGCTCTGTGTCAGCGCTCTCAGAAACTCAGCTGTGATGTCAGCTCACCGAGCCCATGACAGTTCCACAGGACAGAGTAGCTGCCTGTTGTTGAAACAAGGTGTGCAAGCACAGCAGGACTCTGCAAGTGGGTTCAACCCCTGTATGGGAYATCTGCTTAAGGGCTGGACTTGGTGATCCTTGTGTGTCCCTTTCAACTCAGAATACTSTGTAATTCTGTGTAATGTTTCTGCACTCTGAAACTCTGCAGAGGTTGCAAARCAATGTCAGGAAACGTTTGAAAGCAACAAAAATGACCTGGCTTCTGCTATAAATCAAGGATACCAGCACTGCCTGGCTTGCAGCTAAACTGATTATAAAGGAAAGCATATGCCCAACAAATGTGTGGCTCCTGTGCAACAAATTTCCCCCATCTTAACAAGGAAATCAGATCCCYAATTTGAATATAGGTCTGCTTTTTGTCTCTGCTGTGCAAATACAGCCCCAAAGACAAGTTGTATTTTGAACCTATGGAGGCACAAGCTGTCCACAACCACAGCAGAAGAGGAATGTGAGAGAGGCTGAGTTTCCCCCTCTCCTGYAGCAGCTGAGCGCAGCAGAGGGAACATTTTCGTATTCCAAGGTTTCAATTCTGCCAAGTCAGGCAGCATTCCCAGTCCTGGACTTTATTGGAGGCTTGTAGGCATTGCCTCTTTACAGGCTTCAACAGACTTCAGCAGTCTGCTGGACTGACCTGGACAAGCCGTAACTGTGCCAAGGAATCATCTTGTCCGCTTGCCCATGGCATTCTGCTCCTCCAGAGCACGCCTGTGTGCTAAGGCAGCTGAAACAAGGGAAGCTGCTCCCACACAGAGTGGCAGGCCAATTTTCCTGCCTCTGGGAATTTACTGCAAAGATGCAGAAGGCAAAGACTCAGAACACATAAATGCTTGCTCCCTTCCATGGTGCCTATTGTGAAGGGAGATCTCTCCTGCAGAGCCTGGGGATGGTAGAGAAGCAGGAAAGGATAGACTTGACTGAAATAGTCCTGGCTGCAACAGTATGGGAAAGGCAAATGAAAACATGGAAAAGCAGCAGGAGTTGGTCCCGTGGAGCAGAACCTCCGTATCACACAGGTGGGATCCACCCAGATCCTTTTCTTCCTCATATACTCTGTTCCTTACRTATTCTCTCTTCACGAACTGATTTGGTCTTGAGAGTCCATTTTACAGCTGTTGGTGACAAACAACAGCTCATCACGAGCTTGTAGTAGCCAGAGTCCTCACTTTTATTCAGTTTCCTTCTTCTCAGACTCCTCTTGTTTTGTGAAGTGCAGTGTGTGTGAGGAGTAATATGTCTCTATGTGGAAATGTCAACTGTATTACATTTTAGTCTGGGCTCTAGGAATACTGCATTTATTTCTAAAAACAGAAACAAAATTATTTTCTTAYCTTCTTGTCACCAAAACATGGGACAAGGCTGTCAAAGAAAACATGTATCAGTAAGAAAAAAATCAACAGGTAATTTYTGCTACATAAAGGGAGAAAAATCCAAGTTAGACCATTTAAGAGCACATATCACTGCATTACAACTGATGTTTAAAAAGATGACCTTAGAAGAAACTGCCTCAGTGGGCTTGTAGACTGGAAGAGCAGACAGGGTGCAGGTTTTGTGCTGGGCAGTCTTTGGGATATTTATACAACAGAACCACGAGCTTTACCACACAATGACAGGAGCACAATCCTACACCTCTGTTCAGGGAAGCTGAACCATGAATGAGTTTGGGTCACAGACCCATAGGACAGGGTGGTGTGCAGTGACCAGGACCTTGCACTTATGTTGAAGTCAGTGGAGCAAACCTCAGAATGGTGGCTGAGCAACAAAGGACCCTCATAGTGCTTGGAGCCATTTGGGAAAAACCCTGGGGCAGCCAAAGGGTGCTCACTCACCACCTTGCAAAACACTTCTGTGAGGCACTGCTGTGCCTCAGTGGCTGTTGTTTACAAGAAAGTATAAGCAGGTGAGTGTTTGACTCCAAGCATCTGTAGGTAACTGCAGAAACAATCACTTTCCAGGCTGTCTGCACAAACCTGGCTCTGCTAGGAGGGAGGAAGAAAGGCATCCCTGGCTACTTTCAGTCACCAGTGAGAAAAAAGCTGCTCATAAATTATTAGCAGTGCCATGCACCACCAACATGGCAGGACATTGAGCTCTCCCCCCACAAAGTAGGGACTAGGGCCTAAAATTTCTGCAGCAGGAAAGAGGCAGAGGGTTTGCAGACCATTTTTTTTTTTGCCTCCATGATGTAGAGTTGACAGATGCTGCCTTTATTGTCAAAYTGACTTTTACATGATTCCTAATCTTTGATGTTTTTCAAAGCAGTGAAAAARGCAGCAAGTGATAAAGACAGGCTTYTGGCAGGGCTCCTGCTCAGGTCAAGTTTCCCTGCTCAGTATCGCAACTGTCAAAATCAGTTCCTGCCACCACCTTTCTACTGTGTGTACTTCAGCACGCTGCCTTATAAAGCAAGCACATCTGTTCATTTATACAAGGGATGTTAAGGGATAAAAAGAGCACCTTGTTGTATTTGCATGGTACTAACACATAACAGGTATTTCCTACATGAATTGATGGGCCTAGCTGTTACAGATGCTTAACAGCTCACAGATAAAACTTTCCAAGAGGAGAGGTTTTATTTTTAAATCCAGAAGGCAAAACAAGGGTCAGAGTAGAACTCCTAGAGATTAATAAAGATCCAAAACCTCAAGAACTAGTACAATAAGTTCTTCTTATTAGTCTTTAAACAAATTAACAGATTCACCCTTTATCATTATACTCCAGCTAAAATKTTGAGGTAGGTGTAAAGTAATCTACCTCAAGAGAGCTGATGGTAGTGCAGAAAACCTGGATCCAAGATCGAAAACCTGCAGTGCACAGACACAGGGAAATACTGCTAAGTAGGTAACTGCAATGCAGGAATAAGTTTTCTCAGCAATCAACCCAAAAAGAGATGGTGATGGGGAGTGAGATTTTCAGTGCACTGATACCATGAGGATAAGGGTGTAAAAATGTAGTATCAGAGGCACAAGAAGCACCAGAAAAGCCCAGCAAAACATCTCAGAAAATTCTGAGTGAGCACTGTTGTTATATCAAATGGCTATTAAATTATTGCAAAGGATAAAATCCTGAAAGTCATCAGCCAAGATGATCACACAGCTTCGTAGCAGCGTATCAGAAGGTACCTGCACAAATGGAAATATACTAGAGGTCTGAGAACACAAGGGGTGTAACAACTTCCAAAGGACATTGTGGCAGAGAGAGCTTTACCTTTCTCCCACCTGTCACATCAAGACGTAACATATCAGCAATGAGAGCCTTCTGGGATACCTCAAATGGGACATCCGAGCAAATAGATCTGCAAAGTAAAGAAAAAGGGGTGGAGAGAAATGGGTGTTAAGCAATGCATCACTTGAACAAATCGGGTTTTCAAGACACACATGCAGGAACAAACTGCAGATGTGGAGAGAAGCAGTAGGTTTTTTCATTAGGTCTCATTCAAGGAGAAATGGCCCATCCAGAAACTCTGTAAGTATTCAAAATTGAAGCTCAGAGAGAAACATGCTGGTTAACTGGAAAGGCTGAATTGCCCTGAATTGTAATATAAAAGGACAGCAAGAATGAGATACACTTTTCCTCATTGCTACCATTCTCTTCTGCACTATTATCTTGCCAAAAGAAGCCCACTTAGTCCCTGGGCAGGGATAATTTCTGCAGTAGGATTGGTGCCATTTTTCTTTCAACAGATTTTTGGCAATGACATGATTTCTCTTGGTTCTGGAGTGAATGAGTACCCTTTTCATGCTTCACAGAGATCCTGTTGTCAGCTGCCCTCTAGCTTTCACCTGCAGCTTTTGGTGGAAGGTAAACAGAAGCAGCAAATCCTTTAGTCCCAGCCCAGTCAGTGGGAGCTTACAGATTCAAGATCATAATTACATGAAAAACCACTGTAGGGTGGGTCATTATCTATCTATCTATCTATCTATCTATCTATCTATCTATCTATCTATCTATCTATCTATCTATCTATCTATCTATCTATCTATCCATCCATCCATCCATCCATCCATCCATCCATCATGCTGCTTCTCCTCTTATGACGACAACTCTGGCACAATGAGGTAACTGAAAGTTACAGATGAATGTTGCTGTAAATTTGATTTCCACTTACTTCAGGCTTACTGACCTTCAAAAATCCCACCTCCATACCCAGTTCTGAATGGAAACCCTAGAGCACACAAGTCAAGTACTGTGTCTGAATCAACAGGCTACTGGTAAGASAAGAAAATTCACTAATACAGTGCAGGGAGGAAAAAGCACCTCAAGATGTAACAGAGCAGAGAGATTTCTTGCAGGTCTTGGTTTGGTTTTGGGATACCAGGAGAAAAACATACTTTTGTTTGATGCAGCCTACTTCAACACAGAATTTAGCAATGGTCTGATCACATTTAAGAGATTGGTAAGTGAAAATGCACACACCATTTTTATAGTCTTTCATAAAGAGGGCATCTAGAAAGGAATTTTTCCAAAGAAAAGAAAAATTGATCCAAGATAATCATGCTATGCATGCCCAGCAAAAAAATTAATTTTAGGCCATACAGGAAGCAAAAAGATCCTTTAAAAGAAACTATAACCTAATTAATGCTCTTATCTAGTTTTCTAGGCTTCAACTCACTTGATTTGAGACTTTTAGAATCTATCTGTATTGCTTTAGGTCACATCCTCAGGAATTATTTTAGTAWTTTTTATTCCTTCTAGTCCTTAGTCTTTTTAGTCTAGATGGTCTAGGACCTCTGAAACTCTTCAAGATGGGATTTTATTGTCACTGACTCTAATAAATAATTATTTAGGGTTTTAAACATGACAGCAGTTTACAGATATATCTCCAAAAATGTATCCACAGAGAAGCTTTTACATACCCTGATACTTAGAAAAAGTGGTAGGGACATTAAACACTCCACCATAAAGGCTCTGGCAAAAAAAGCCCAAAGGTCACAAGCAGATGCCTTGGTTTATATACAGACCATGATGCCCAGCAGAGCTTATTAATGAAGGTTAGTCCCTCTAGATGTCTCTGGTGAAAGCTGAATAATCTGTCAGAGTACAACCCCCAAATCCCTCAAAACACAGCACAGYAGCAGAGGCTCTGGCCTTTGCTCCACCTGCACCATTAGCTGMTGATCCACCTGTTGCAGAAAATAACTTTCTGGGATCCCATTCCAGTCTAGCTTGGCCCATTAAGGCAGGTAACTGCAACATCCTTCAAGTGTAAACCCTCTCTGAACTCTGAAACTCTGTGCTTGGCCAGATTTGTTTCCCAGTAAACCACAGCTGTTCAGAGAGCTAACAGGACCCAAACATCAGCTTTACCATAGTTCCTAGGAATGGGGAGATGAGGCAGCAGACAGTTTATTTTGCATAGGCATGAAGTGGTTTGTTAGTATTGGGCTTCCTCCTGCTTCTCCCACAGTTTCATAGCAGTACATAAACAGGAATTCTCTTCAGAAAGGAAAATACCACATTCAATTAAACGACATCTGAGTTAAGTATGAAGAAATTAAAATATATTAAACATGGCACTTGCACAAACACCCACAACCGTAACTTTCGGGAAAGGTGCTTTTACACGTGCACTAGAATAGAGACAAACTTGGGGCCAGTTACTTCAGGAGCACCTGAAATGCATCCTGATTCAGTGTTCCTTGAAACACAAGGCCAGCTTACCACACACTGCAGCCCTCTTTGCAATCAATAGTAATTGGATAACTCCAAGTCATTCTCTTCATAGAAGTAAAGACACTAAGTATCAAGCCTTGGTACAGTCTAATTACACTTCCATTAACCTGTGAGCCCACGAATATGTGCAGTCAAATCCCTTCAAACTACTCAACTTTCAGGTGCCCAGTGCCTTGATATCCAAGAGACAAACATACCCTTGATTATTGACTCAAAGCAAGACAAATATTCAAAAAACAAGCACCCAAAACAACAGAGAAAAAAAAAAGAGGAAATCCACATTAAAAAAAACCAAACAAAAACCGCAACCCTTTTCTACTCTCTTCCAACCATTCTCTCACTGTGGTCTTGGACAGCCAAAGTGGCAATCCCAGAACCAGTTTTCCTGAGCCTGAACATCAATTCTTTCATAAAGAAGAGTTTTGGTCTAATCACAGCAGCCACAACACATATGATTAGAAGATAAAAAAAAGATCCTTTTTCATAGCTCGCTGTACAGTCTAGACCTCAGTGAGGGGAAAAGAAGGGGCAAGGCACTGATTTCTCCTCTGTGGTCACCAGTGAAAAAAACCCGAAAGAATGACCTGAGGTTGTGTCAGGGGAGGTTTAGGATGGATATCAGGAAAAGATTTTTCACCGAAAAGGTGGTTTGGCATTGGAACCTGACAGAGTTCAAGAAGCGCTTGGACAATGCTGTCTGGCGCAGGGTGCGACTCTTGGGGATGGTCCTGTGCAGAGCCTGGAGCTGGGCTGATTGATCCTTGTGGGTCACTTCCACGCAGCCCATCCCGTAACCCCGCGTCCCCCGCCAARCCCCGCCCCCACGACCGTCCGCTCTTGCCATTGGTCGAGGTGCCCGTCCGTCAGCGGCCGTTGCCGTGCGACCGGCACAGCCCTGAGGGAGGAGCGGGCGGCCATGGGGGCGGTGCCGCCCTGGGGGCGGTGCGGGGACGGCTGTGAGGGACTCCGGGAAGTGCCGCTMCCCATGCACGGCGCGGAGGAGGCGGCGGCGGGGCCGCGGGTAAAAGCGGCGAGCACGAGCACGCAGACCGACAGCATGGCCGGTGAGCCGGGATRCGGGGGGTAGGGACGGCGGGCCGGGGCCTTCCCCGCCGTGAGGGAGCCGCGGCCCCGCCGCGCTGACGGTGGTGAGGGCCGGGGGGGTGTGAGGGGGGTGTGCGCTCGGGACACACCGGCCCCTCGTGGGTCTCGCCTCACCCACCGAGTCCTTCCAGGGGCGGCCGGTTTGTCCTCTCCTCAGGGGACTTTTTCCGCCTCTTCCCAGTGCTATTCAGAGAGCCCGCGCCTTCCCCCTCCGTTTATTCTTCAGAGAATGCTCCTGCCCCTCACAGACAGTGTAAAAAAGAGTATATATGTATATATACACATATACATATGTATATGTATATATATATATGCACATATAAATATATATGTGTATATATATGTGTATATATATGTGTGTATATATAAAGTATATATATACTTATATCTCAGTATACTCACATATATAAGTATATATATGAAAATATATATACAGCATATCTATAGTATATAAGTATATGCTTTATATATGCACACTTTATATTATAAGTAATGTGTATATTTATATGCTGTATATATCATGTGTGCGAATATATATAAAGTATATATACTTCTACATATAGTATCTGCAAGCATTTATCTATATATCCAGTAAAAAAAAAAAATTCAGAAAAATATATCTATCTCTTCCTTTCTTCCCTGCCCCTGCTTGGCAGCTCCCTTCTCCATAAGGCCCTTCTGATAACATAAGCTTGTATTTTGCTCCCTCCTCCCACTCCGTTACAATGATTTCTTTCCCCAGCCCTTTACTAAATATATTTAATGTGCATACAATGCAATGTGCAGGAAAATGCTTGCTTTCTGAGGGGTGTTCTTATTAACCCTCACTGCAGGCCCGTGGTATGGTTTTGTAGAGGGCAACTTTCTCTCAAGGCTGGGGATGCCCGGTGAGGCAGATCTGATAGATTCTGTAGATCTCATTGCTGCGGTCCCGAGGGAGTGGTGTGTGCATACGGAGTGCTGTATATATAGTTCTCAGACAGACCACCATGGCAGGGCTGTCAGGTCTCTTGGATGGGTGTATGAGTTTTGTTTCATACTGGGTTTTTTTGAAATCCTGCTTCTAGGCAAGCAAAATTGATTAAGTCTGAAAATGGKTTTATGGGGAAAATAGGCAGCAGAGTGATGTCACTGATAGCTTCCTCCTTGATGGTGTCAAGCATCATTTTTACAAGCCTTTCAGACTTTGGACTAGGAACTCCTGCCTTACAGCCATGGCATAATCCTGAGTCTGAGCCATGTCCGGGTAGACAGTGCCCTGCTTCTTTGCTTCCAGGTGCAGGAGCAGCAAGGTTTTTGTCACCAGCCTTCACAGTGCACTTTCCCTGGAGCATGCCTCACCTCACTGAAGCCAGGTCCATAACCGGGAGGAATAAAATCATACCTTTGTGTGAAGTGGGCCTGACTCACCTGCAAAGAGCACTCCTTTTATATGTGGTTATGGTCTCAGGAGCAGAGAGCCTGACTCCTTTATTTCCCCARTCTTCTGTAGTTGTTTTCAATTCTGTGAGACATTCTCTCCCTTCTTTCCAGTCCACTTTAATGAGCCTTCTCTTCATCCTGTTGAACTTCAGGGAGTGTTTTCCTACCTAAATGAGTAAAGATGCACACACATAGCTATGATAACTGTAACTGAAGGTCTTTCCTTTTTCTTCATAATATTCTCCTGCTTCTCATTATAAATTTATATCAGGACATTCTTCATTTTGTTTCCCATGTGTTTGGCAGGTCATATTCCRGGAAAACTTTCTGTGGTGTGTGTAGTTTTAAGTGTACTCTGTATGCCAAATTGTAGTCCGTTTTAGAAAACACAAAGGTGTCTGTGTGCATTGTCATAAATTGCACTGGTTATTTTAACTTGCCGCTTGGGAACTGTACATGTGTGTGCTATGACAGGAGTAAATGGACTGTGATAAGAATTAATTCAAATGCCCATTTAAGAATCAGATTCTGCTTCTTTATATATGGTTTGTAGACTTACGTTTACGATCTATGTTTACGGTTTATGTTTACAGTTTGTTTTTAGTACAAATTATAACAAATCTTCATGTGTGCTGCTTGCCATGTACGTTTCTAGCACACATATCTGACTGTGCTAACCAGGTGCCCTTGCAGTGCTTGTGCCAAGTGGGGTAGCAGAGCTGGGCAGCCTAAGGAGTAGTGGACAATGTGGCACCAGGATAGGGCTGCTGACAGGCCTCTATTTGCTTTCCCAAACCACACTTATGTGTGAAAAACGCTGAAAAATACCTTTTGAAAACGATATTTCAGTCATGGATTGCGTATGTGTGTCTGCTGTCCTAGTTGTTTGGATTCACAGACATGATATTAAACTAACCATCTCCCCCCATCAGGTAATCTTAGTATCTGATTGTATCTCTTCCAAGCTGCTGGAACTACTTAAGGAATGTTCTTCTCTATTCTGTTCCATTCTTGCAACTGCCTTTTCCGCCTTTGCAAAAACAGTAACATTTATGTAAAAAGATAGAAACAGAAATAATACTATTGTCAGTCAGTACATGTCTGACCTACAGAGGAATATGTGTTCATTGCAGCGCTCTTTAAGCACCCCTGAAATAGGGACTGGAGATATTTCAATTAACTCCTTGCCAAGTATGAGGCAAGATAGCTTTACATCTGAAACAGTGCAAGTTTTACCAAGCAGTGCAGTACTTCGTCCTTTTTCCTTTGTGGGACACTCAGTAATGCTGAGTGCTGGCCATCACAAGACAACATCCAGATTTTGAGTACATGCGCAGCACAGCAGAAGGTGATGCTCCAAGGAGAGATTTTTTGCATTTTGATATTTTGTCAGAAGTGATGGCCTGAGCAAAAGGTTTAAATTTTTGTAAGAATCTAGCCAAAATGTAAGCAGACTGTAAGAATCCAGAAGCAGGATCTCCAGAACTGATGTAACTGGAAGGTTTCGCAATGGCTCGTCCACTCTTGCTGTGGGTGTCAGTGTAAAACCATCATGCATGCCTGGGTATTTTTGCCCTCTTCTGTGGTGAGCCTGAAGCTGAATCAGAAGGTCTCTCAGATTTCTGTAACCATCTGTGAATCATTTGAGCACATTAAGTTATATGGGATCTCATGATCTGACCTGTGATTTCTGCTCTACACATCTGAGTTGAACTAACTCACTGAATTTCAGTGAAAGTTTCACCACTTCCTCTGATTGCACAAATATGATCTCTGCATCCAGATGTGAGCACCCTGAGTTGGCAATGTCTGCCCTGAAAAGGATAGTGTGGATTTAACTGCTGAAAGGGCAGAAGGGGTTGATGAACCAGCTTCTGTAGCAGCTGTGTTGTAGAAGACCTAAAAAAAAAGTTCAACAATGTGGAGTTTCTTTATAAATATTCTCTAATAAATATTTATTTTTTCTTCAAAATAGGTCAAATGCCACGACTTTCTAAGGTCAATCTTTTTACTTTATTAAGTCTCTGGATGGAGCTCTTTCCCTCGGCTGAACAACAGAAAAAATCCCAGGTAAAATGCCTGTGCTTACCGTTAATTGGCCTTTCTGAAGAGCTCCTTCAGTAAATTTAACCCAACTGCTCTTTACATGACACATAATGCAGATAAAAAAMCAAAACCAACCAAATCTAATAAACTTTTTTTCAGATATTTCATAGAAGTAAAAAAATAAATCCAGTATTGGGAGAAAAATAGCACAATGCCTGAATAGCATGCGATTTCTGAAAARCTTTGAAAAGCAAGGTATGCCCCAAGAGGTTAAACAAAGCGGATGTTTTGAGCATGTCAAAGGAGGCGTGGTGTATACCATGTGTATAAAGTCAATGTGGTTGATGGTGTACAGAAACACTAAAACAGTTACAATGTTCATGACTCTAGATGAGTTCTTTTACACAGTGGAGGTGGATGCAACAACTTGAAATGTTTGATGATCAAGAACTTGTATGTAACTACTTTAGTGCCAAGGAAAAGGAGCTTTTAGATGCCATTAGAGTGGGTCTTCTAAATCGTAGCCAGTTACTCTTCAAAGTCAAGAGACATTTTTAGACTAACCTGGAACAGGATGTTTCCTTTTGTGACCAGAGTTGTTACTGTGCTCTCTAAATGATTTCTTATTTTTGCAGAGCATACCCTTTTGTGAAGATCCATTGTACATGTATCAGCCAGGGCAAGAAAAGATAGGCAAATAATCTGAATGAAGATTAGGCCTCATTTTCAGAGCTGGTATGTCCCAGACTAGATCTGAAAGAGGGATAGATGAACAGCACCTACAGGCTTCAAAAGCAGTTTCAARTTTAATAATTCAGTCAGAAATCGCACTTGGGTTGTGTATAGGGCTTAAGTAAAGTCTCATTTCTGTAACCACAAAGCAATTGAATAATTTACAGATCTAAGGCAACAATGTTCGGTAGCAGCTGGATTGCATAATGAGATCTGTTTCACCAGCTTAATCAACCTAGCTTGTATCCCCTTTCCTCACAATGTACAGGAATCCAGATGTAATAGGTCTCGTCTGTTATGCAGACTTCTTCCATAGGAGATTGTTTAGAACCAGGATTCCATAAATGAAGAGACAGAAATAAAGCTAGAGAAGCTATTGGCTCCCAAGTTGGTCAAGCTTAAGACAGAAATTAAATTCATGAGCATTTCCAGATGCTGGCTGATTCAGAGAGGCTTTCAGCTATAATTGACATAATTTTCTATGCTGCTTCTGGATTTTGATGTGGGCAAAGCAATGACCAGAAAAAATCATAGATTTATGATAAGTCCCTGTTTGGAGTTTGACAGAGACACAGCGCTCTGATATTAACAGGCACATGTGAAAACAAAACAACAATAAAAATGCTTAGGAAAGTGCAGATTGTTTAAAATTCGTATCACAATTTGTACTGGAGAGCTCTGTGCTCTGCTGCAGGTTGGTTACTGTAATCCAAGGAAGAGCTATAATACTTATGGACTCAATGTTGAAAAAAAGTAAAATAATAATAATGCTTTTTTTTCTGTAGGTGAAGAAGAGTGGTCTAGTTGTGGTGAAAAACATCAAGATCATTGGTCTTCATTGTTCCAGCACAGAATTGCATGCTGGCCAGATTGCACTCATTAAACACGGATCAAGACTTAAAAACTGTGATCTTTATTTTTCCAGAAAACCATGTTCAGCTTGTTTAAAAATGATTGTAAATGGTAAGTAATGACAGTAGTAGAGTAAGAGTAAATGATACACTTGTGATTGAAAACAGTAAGCCTGTTTTCTCTTTGGACTGTCCTAGTTGTGAATGCCTAACTTGTGTAGCCTGCATTGATGGTTTCCATAAGGGTGAATGTCCCAGAGCYGAAGGTCAAGAAACTGGGGTTTGCTCCTCAGGTCCTGTTTCTCTTATGTGCAACCGTTATCACTGGTGGTGCTTGTCTCTTGGCTGGGATGCCCTGCTCAGATTCTGACGTTCCTCTTGCACTCTCCMAGAACAACCCTAAGCCTGATGACTAGGCCTTGGTTGGTTGCTGTATTTTTCCTTGCCTTCCCACTGCTTGTGTCTGACACCAGGGAAGAGTGGGGTTTATGCAGAAATCACAGGGAGTACTTAAGGGTTTCCTTTTCCCAAGGGAGGTGAAGGCAAACCAGTTTTTTTGCTTTCTGAAATGGGATCTGCCGGTATAGCCCTCTGCAAATACTGATTTTTAGTCTTGGCAGTAATGTCTATCAGTGCTAACTTCCTGTGTCTATGTTGCTAATTTATCTGTTAGATAAAAGATCCCAAGATCTGAGAACTTGGAAAACTCAAATTTTTGTTTGTAGTCAGATTATCAAGCTTGATAACTCCTTGATAATTGTATCTACCATCATTTTTGTTGTCTAGACACCCCTTAAGTAGCACTCGGGGCCTTAAATAAATAAAACCAGGATTAGGCAATAGTGTGTTGAGTGTGGGTTTTATGTTCCACTGTACTTGCAAGATTCCTTTTGTTGCATTATCTTCTCTTCCAGCTGGGGTGAACAGAATTTCTTACTGGCCTGCAGATCCTGAAATCAGCTTGCAGAACGAGGTGTCCAGTCCCACAAGCACTGAGGATGCAAAGCTGGATGCCAAGGCAGTGGAAAGACTAAAGTCAAACAGTCGTGCTCGTGTGTGTGTGCTACTTCAGCCTCTGGTGCACTGCATGGTGCAGTTTATTGAAGAAACTTCCACAAAGTTTGATTTTATTCAGAAAATAGCAAAATCACAGCCTAACTGTGATACTGACTTTTATACTGCATGTAGGCAAGAAAGAATAAAAGAGTATGAAAGTTTATTTCTAATTTCAAATGAGGAAATGCACAAGCAAATATTAATGACAATAGGACTGGAGAACCTCTGTGAAAACCCATACTTCAGCAACCTTAGGCAAAATATGAAAGAACTTGTCTTGGTCTTGGCCACAGTGGCTGCCAGTGTCCCTGTCTTTGGATGCTTTGGATTTTACAAGAGTGGATCACAACAAAGCAATGAAGCAGACGATCAGTGTTTGCCCCAGGATGTGGCAAGGCACTGTATGATACAAGCCAGGCTGCTTGCATATCGCACAGGTGAGTTGTCGCTGGAGTGCTGGAAGAATGGGGTCTCATCAATTGAGCAAATTCCTGATTTCAGTCTTATTCTTTCAAATACTTCCTTGAGCAAGCTGCTCAATTCGAGTCCTCTAAGGGGGAAACAAGTGCAGTAATAGTAAAGACTCCACAGGAGCACACAGTATTGTGTGCGAATGCTTTCCATGAGGAAATCAGTGCAGGTATTTTACACACAGTGCTGGCAAACCGTGTCCTGCCAATGTGTCCAACACCCTACTGAAAATAGAACAGAATGACATTTAAATTCTTCAAGGTGCTCTGAGGCTCTTTTTAGTGAGGTCTCACAAGATGCTTCTGTTATCAGATAAATATCAATATTTTAAGAAGATTATGTACACTTCAGAAAAAAAGCAGTGAAATAATAAAAATAAAATAAATAGAAATAAGATAAAAATAAAATAGAAATTAAAAAATAGTATATTAAATACAGTTATATTAAGTCTCCTAGTTCTAATTTTATTAGTGGAAGTGCTTATGTATCTGATGGGGGTTTTCATTGCACAGATGCTGGGGTTCTATGTCCAGGCTTCTGAGGTGGAAGGATAGTTTTTGACTCTCTTCATAGAGATTACTGCTGTTAGCTGCTTTATTTTCTCTTGGTACCAAGGCAGGAAACTGCTAAGTTCTTCCAGAGAACAGAATATGAAGACTTAAAATTTGATGGTACTCCACAATAATGTTTTGCCCTCTAGATATGATAGTTGCTTTTTTTAAACCATCGTGAGCAAAAAAATGATATATATTTAAAGCTTAAACCAAAACTAATCCCCCGACACATACATACAAGCCCAGCCTCTTAAGTCAAGTACCCTCAGCAAATTTTGTCTCCAAAAATTGCAGAGGAGATCACGTTTTTTAGATGTAATTCAGAAGTTTCATGGAACCAGTTATGAGTTCTTCATACAGCTACTTTTATACAGAACAAGGTGGAATGACTAAGCTTGAGTACTCATCCTTGGGGCAGCAAAGTTCAGTTTTATCTGTGGTATTCAGCCTGGATTCAGATCTAGTGTTTGAGCCAGCTCTTATTCCACTGAAGCGAAATTAAAGTAAATATCAGCTCACAAACACATATTTAGATGCACTGTTATATAGGTGGATATAAGGGGAGAATGATCACAGGATGTTTTCTAAGCTGGCTTAATCAATCAGTATCATCTTCCTCACCTCATAAATGAAATCAGCTTTGATGAAATATGTCCTTGGCCCGAAAGACCCTCTTTGAGTGATTATGTATGCTAGTGACACTAAGGATGATGGGCATGATTAATGGAAACAGTGTGTTCTGCAATATTAATCAATGGAAGCCCAAAACATACTTTTTCTCATTAATATGCTCTGTTTTAATTGATCAAGATTCTCATCAATAGCTACTGGGGAAGATTTTCGAGTCATATCCGAGTCACATAATGAAAGCTCTGTACCAGTTTTCCTATGGTGATGTTAGAATACACCCCAAAAATCCAATTGTTAATATTTTGTCTCTGAATTTGTATAAAATACAACTACTTTTGACAGAACTTCAGACCACAGACCCATAAATTTAAAGAATTACAAAAATGAAGTCATTAAATTCACTAGTAAAGAACAAGAAGGTTTTTATCAGTTTGCTCTCTCACATCAGTGACCCTCCTCACACATATTCTTGCTACATGTTTTCTTACCTATATGTTGGATGCTTTGTTGCATTTGTGAGCAAGGTACACAGCAAAATCTTAGAACGACTGCCTTGCAGTTAGAGCACACCTAGCTTTTACAGTAGATTCCTGTGATTTCAAAGCTTTTAATCTTTCTGCATTTCTTTCTTACCTATCCACAAAGCAACAATAAATGTTATTCCTTACTCTAGGATGTCATGTGTTAATGTATAGGTAACTCAGAAGTGCTTTGTTATTTACTTCTAAAATGTTATGTATTTTAGAGGATCATAAAACGGGAGTTGGAGCTATTATTTGGGCAGAGGAAAAATCAGTAAGTATTGAAAACGTTACTTTTCCTTGCATTCACAAATCATACACTGGCTTTGAGCTTATTATTTTCCTTTAAATTTATTCACTTCTGTTTTTCATACACACACAGCTTTAGTAACTTAGTTAATGACTGGTTCATTATTACACTTTAAGATGAAGGGGAAGTATAAATTATTTTAGTAACTATGACTTAGTGTCTCCACCTGGGTTTTCAGTACACATGCTTCCTTAGTCATTGTCACTTATTCCAGGTATCCTGGCTACAAGATTTTGCCACAGCTGCTGGTCAAGCAGCATGTGCCTACTCTGCACGGTCCCTCTTTGCAGGTCTTTTTAGGAGAACTCTCAGTGCAATTATAGCCTGACAGTCTCCCAAGGATATTTGTTGCAGCTGAAATGCTGTATTGGCTTTAGCACATTCCTTTTTGGATCAAAGTGGTATTTTTCTATGAATATTGTTACATTGCTTTTTCCTATTGAAACATAAAACTTTTGTTCTTCATATCTCTGTTTATGCATGTTACCTATCCCAGAAAGCCTCATTCTTCATGTGGCTGCAAAATACTCTTAATTTGTTTTTAACACCAGTCATCAGCTGCTTTGTTTCTTTTTCTGATTTCAATTGCCAATTGCCTCTTATCAGCCCACTGGTCACTGGGACTGTTGAGAGACAGCTGAAACACCATCTCTACTACATCAGGGATGAACTCCAGCTGTATTTAATTGTGTACACTGTTAAGGCCTACATCTTTCAGATTTCATGTCCCTGATGTCATTATTACTTGCCAAAAGGAAAGCCTTGAAAGCCTGTTGCATGTAACTGAGGTGTTACACTTCGCCTGTGTGGCTCCCACAGGGCTCAGTGGAGAAGCTCCATACAGACATGGAACAGTTGGCAAGACATGAGCTGTATTTCAGCTGCTATAACTTGGCATGAACTGATCATACAAAAGTATACATTGCACAGTACTTTGACTTARAACTCTGTTTAAATACTTCCAAATTTTTTGCTTTGTTTACTGTTGCAGAGAGGCTGTGATGGAACTGGAGCAATGTATTTTGTAGGCTGTGGTTACAATGCCTTTCCTGTTGGATCTGAATATGCTGATTTTCCACATATGGATGATAAGCAAAAAGATCGGGAAATTAGAAAGTTCAGATATATTATCCATGCGGAGCAGAATGCCCTAACATTCAGGTAATGGGTTTATTTTTACCACTGAGAAGAATGAGATGTTTCAGAAACAAKTTCATGACAAATGTGTGTTGTGTTTAAGCCCAGCAGGTAAGTACACACCAGGTAGCCCCTCACTCCCCCCACCCCACCCTGGTAGAATGGGGAGAAAGATCAAAAGTAAAACTTGTAGGTTGAGATAAGAACAGTTTAATAATTGAAACACATTAAAATTTATTAATAATAATAAATAAGGTAAAAGGTAAAAACAAGTAATGGCCAATACAGTTACTCATCATCCACTGATCAATGCCAGACCCCATACCCAATCTCTGATCAACGCCCCTTCAGTAACTACCCCAGTTAATACAGGGTGTGACATATAATGGGGAATATCCTTTTGGGCAGTTTGGGTCACCCTTCCCRCTTTTTGTACAGCTTCTCACTGCCAGATTATGATTCAAAGCACTTGATTCAGAGTAAGCTTTACTTAGCAACAACTAAAATATCAGTGTGTTTTCAACATTATTTTCATACTAAATCCAAAAGACAGCACTGCACCAGCTGCTGAGAAGAAATTACCTGTATCCCAGCCAAAACTAGGACAATGTGCAATGTCACTGGGATGAACTGTAGATTGCAATCACAGTCTTCTTTATGCCTATGGTGTAGAAGTTTGATGTGTATGCACACAGTCAGCTCTGGGGTTTATTCAGATTTTTTATATGAAGTTGAGTTTCAAAGGATACTGGCTCCTTCAGTTATATTTCAGTTACAAGCCACTGGCTCTGCTTCTTGCTAGACCATAACCTGAAATGCCTAAGTGTGGCTTCCAGCAATAATAGATGTGGAGACATGGGATGGGTGTTGTTCACAGATAGTGAAACCAAACCAAATTCCATTGTGTACTTGTGCACTTGATTAGGAATAAGTTACTTCTGAGAGTAAATAATACTTCTTTGCTTGCTTTTTGAGGTATCAAATTTGACACGATTCAGAATTATCAAGATTCAAACTCTGAAATTCTGTTTTCTGACTGCTTGTAGGTGTCGAGAAATAAAGCCAGATGAGAGAAGCATGATATTTGTGACAAAATGTCCATGTGATGAATGTGTTCCTTTAATTAAAGGAGCTGGTATCAAGCAGATCTATGCAGGAGATGTTGATGCTGGAAAAAAGAAAGCAGACATATCCTATATGAAGTTTGGTGAACTTGAGGGTGTAAGCAAATTTACAGTAAGTGTCTAAATGTACTGTACTATAAAAACTGGGGGAAGCATTGATGAGAGAGTAGTGAGCAGTCATCTGCAGCCAGGATAGAAGAATGCTGTGCTGTATAGTCAGGCGAGTGGAATTGAGAGGTTGCTCTGTCATAATTTCAGGGAGCAGTGCTGTGCCATTGCCAAGCCCTTCTGTGTTTTGTATCTACATATAGGATTTCCCTCTAACTTGTTGCTGTTATTGGAGTGGTCTCTTCACACTGTGGAGTTCTTTCCAGGCCTCCCATGTCACAGCATGGCAGCTGACGTGGGAGGTCATTGTGTGATTTTGTTGGCCCATCTAGCAGCTCCTGAAAGAGCTGTGGTGGGTTTTGAATGTGGCTAAGGGCACCGGCAGTCAGGGCACTCCCCATGACAAACTGCAGCACTGTTGGTGTGAAAAGCCTCATTGCTCCTTCTCAGGGGAGTAAATGTTTGCTTGGCTTAATCCTTTTTGTCCTCAGAGCAAATGTGTGTTTGAGGGGGAGCCCTTCATTTCCCACCTCACCCCTAGTCATGCCTCACAGTGAAGGCCTGTAGGGTACTTTTTCCTTCTGTCTTTATTCCTTATTCTGTCTTCTGGAATAAGTAAACATTTTCTTCTTCTTTTGCCAGTGGCAAGTAAGTCCATTGCACACTAATACCCTTGAATTCCATGATCCTACAGCCAGGGAAAGTAAGTATTTTTTCATTAATTCATTTTATGACTGAAGTCAATAAATGAGATCACATTTTAAACAAACCTGATTCCCTCTGAGGTTGTTTAGTCTTAATTAGTCTTGATTTCAGTGAGTTAAATTTTGCTATGAAAACTTTTCTGAGTTTTTTTAGTAGGTGATCTAACTGTAACAGGTAATAACTAACTGCAATCAGTGAACTAACTTGTAACAAAATCCTTTAACATTACAAAATCTAACAATTCTATTGTGAAGGCCAACACGTTTGTCATGTAGATAATTTCAGACTACTTGATCATGTTTTAAGTTTTGTTATATAAAGACTTCKTATATTGTGTTCTATAAAGAGTACCATTATTTTTCAAGAGAAATGGGACTGAACTCGAAGTCATTTAAGTATGTTCTCCAGTGCATTTTAGGGCTTTCATATTTGTGTATACATGTGCACATATGTAATGTAAAGGTCACAAAATCCTTGTTGACACACACCCCGTAGCAAGGGAACTGTCATGATCTCAAAACAGAGTTAAGTCTTACTTTGGAGCCTTTCTGTGCTGCAAAAGGGACCCACCACACGCATCTACTGTGTCAGCTACCAATCCTTAAAATATTTCTCATCCAGAGGGGAAAACAGCATGGAAAAAGCAGTTAAATAATTTTTGTGCCTCAAGCAGGAAGATGCCGTGTAAAATGCATTGAGTACCATGCTAGCAGCATAAAAAAAGACTGAAGGTAGTTTTTGTGGCACACAAATAGCCACATACTCCAAGCAAATTCCTAACATATACTGAGATAGATTATTAGAGAAGTCTCTTTGTTAGCTGCTTCCTTATGGGCTCTGGGAAGGGGGGAGGGAAGGGCCCAGAGAAGTGTTTATGGCKTTAGTGGTCACTGCAAAATGTTAGGGCTTATTTGTCTCTCTCTTCTTAATGGTTTTTAGACCCAGCTGGAGAAGATTCTTCCTGGGGTACTTTGTTTGACAACTTTTAACAGGGCTCATTTCTCTGAACAGTTTTCTTTAATGTGGTGTGTCTGCATTGCTAATACTGAACTGGTTTAAGTTCCTCTCTTTCCGTAGTGTATTCCATCTTGGCTATGATGATTGTGTGTTCCTCTGTAAGGGGAAGAAGACAATCTCCAACCCATTCCCCACCTTGTGTTATTGCAGTGTGTCTGTCCTTGTTGAGTATTAGACTATACTTGCTGTTATATTAATGGTCCATGCATGTTCTTCTCTTTAGATGGGGTCCAGAAAACAAAATCGCTGGATGACCAGCAGCACCAAAACAAGAAACTGTGTCTTGGTCATTACTGAATAATTAAGCACTTCCTGCAGTCTTGCTTCGTACTTTTTATACTACAGCCTGTTTGCACTTTCAAATAAGGGAGAGTTTTATTTAATGTTTGGAAAGTGAATTTTAGAATAAGTTTATTTATTATGTCTTTAATGTTTTATGATGTTACCTAAAGGTCTTTTTAATTTAGAAGCTCCTGGCGAAAAAATGCTGCTTGTATTTTCTGTTAAAGTAACTGGGTGGCTGATCATTTTAAACACATTTTAAAAATATATACTGAAAGTTTATTGCTAGTAGAGCAGAGTAATAATAAAATGGTGTCTTACTTGCTTGGTGTATGGATTGAGGGAATGGATTTTTAAGTTCTGGGCTAGCAAAAAGGCAGAAATAAACTCTAGTTCTTCAAATACAATTGTCAGGGGAGTCTTCTAGGAAATGGTAAACAAAAATCACCAGCAACTACTTCTGTTCTTGAAAGTGACTTTTGCTTTTCAGTCTGCTTCTCATTATAATGGACACAAAACCATTGGGATAGTAACCATTGCTAGGTAAATGATTTGCAGACCAATCTTGTCTCTGATACACTCTTCATACTATAGCAGCAGAACTGTTTAGTTTTGTGGTACCTGCCTTGCTGCTCTGTGTGTTTCCTCAAGTGCAGTCCATCTGAATTAATGAAGACAAGGATTAGCTTTGCTTTTTGTCAGGTTCTGAAAGCAGGCCTAAAAGCATTTGGCTGTATGCATCTCACTGGCATCTACATACATGTGAACATTGCTTGTGTTGAGGTTTTGTCAATCTTTGCTAACAGGCACCTAGGACTACAGAAGCTAATAAATCACCAGTGTCGTGTTGTTTCTTAGATAGCATGATGTGTACCAGTGTAATAGCCCAAATCTTTTCAGGTGCCAGTCTCTTGGATGACTACATGTGGAGCAAGGGTGACATTAAAACAGCTGCTGAAACTGCAATCTAGCGTTGCTAGTTTTGAGGGGATAAGTAATAGGTGACCGGAACAAAGAATTGTACCCAGAATTTTTTGAGCGGTCTGTCTCCTAATTCCCATCTGTTTCCTGCTTTGAATCTGACCTCTGAAGTGTTTGTTTTAGCAGATGTCCCAAGATTTTCTGTTCACTACTCTGCTGAGCTCTCAAGTACAAATACCTTAAATATTTTCTGCTCTTTCTGGTAGGATATGTAAACAACCCTTTCCCAGGTCTTTCATGTGTCTTTGCTGCCCTTCTTAAAGTCCTGGAAGGGGAATCATGTCTTAAGATGCATCTGTAGGTTTTCCTTGTTTCTTTTAGGTTTTGGGAAAGCTTGAAGCTGGATAGCAGGGCTGTGACTGGATAGTGTACACTGTCCAAATTAGAATAAAAAGTCTGCTCTTGTCCACCCACTGAAACCTTCTCATTTCCATAATCCATTGGCAATGCTCTTCTACATGAAGTAGAAGTAAGGGGAAAAACAGGGCTGGATTTAAGGTCCCTTCAAGTTTTATAGTGATCTGTCTGCTGGTATCAAAATGTGTAAAATCTGTATCTTCATAGGAGCAGCTGAAATTGAAAAGTCCCTGAAATGTCATAGGTGCCCTGGGTACACAGAGAAGCAAATTAAGTAAAATATCACACACATGAAATAACTACACTGCAGTAAATGCTGCAGTCTGGAACATTTCTCTACTGGAGTAATCTCTGTTTCAGGAGGAGTTAAGATTCTATCTTTTAATTACTTTTTTTTTATAAAGAGGAATTTTTTACTTTCTGTGAAACTTGGAATTGCTTGTAAGGCTGAAGGCTTTGAAGCCTGGCTTTATTTCTGTCTTACTATCTTCTACAGATTCTTTCAGAGGTTCAGAAATTTCTGTAGGCTTTGATTCTCACTATAACCCTACTTCTTTAATTTTTACTGGAATTACAAAGTAGGGACTTTATCTTGGCCAACAGGAACAATGTCAGTGGGGTTCCTGGTTCCTCTCTCAGCCTGTGGACTCTGTAAGTGCTGCTCTGCTTGTCTGATTACCAGAGAGAGAGCTACAGAATACTTGACATCTCCTGCAGTGCTTATTTTGCAAATCAACTCTAGAATGTTTGTTTCTTACATAAAAACTACAAAGTATTTACTCAAGAAATATAAAAGTTATATATTTTATACATTGTATGATATTTCCATGTGCATTTTGAGACTCATTCATTTCAGAACAATCATTTTAATTGCAGGTATTAACAGTAATAATTTGGCCTCTTGACTGAGAATTACAGAAATTCTCTGTTAATTGTCTGCCTTACAGCAAAATATGCTTCCTGCTAATAAATTAATCTGTCAGTGAGTACTGAAGTGTGTTTTTAAGTGTTTTTAGGAACATTTTTTAAGTGTGTTTTTAGGAACATTACAGAGTGCTTTGGAATGCTCACACCTCTTACAGGCCTGGTACTGCTTGCTGAGCTGCAACACCTCCCTCTGCTCTGCCCGAAGAATTTGTCTTAACATGAGACTGCCTCTTGCCAGCCCCAGGAAAGGGCTGGGATCCCCTTCCTTAGCCCTGTGAGGATTAACTTCCTCTTCCTCAGGAGAGTGGGAGCTGCATCAGGGAGTACTGCAAGCTGCCACCTCCACAGCCTATTCCTTGGTTGGATGAAGCTTTGACCATCCAACAGTAAAATTGGTCCCCACTCGCCTCTTGCCTAGTTGCTCTGGATTGCCTGTATGGGCATACCCAGGTGTCCCAATTCCCAGTCATTGCAGAGCAGAGCAGCATCACTGCAGTGGTGGGGGCCAACAGCTGTGCCAGTCCTCAGTGTGGCTATGGGGCATTGAGCAGGGAGTGAGTGATGATGGGGGTCTGACTCACCATGGTTTCACATTCACCACGTTTCAGCCTAGGCTTATGRACTGAGGGCCTGATAGCCAGTTCTGTGCATTATGGCTGTGCCTACAGTTAGTTTTCCTTCTAAGCTGAAAGGAATCCACTCAATGCCCTCCAAGACTGGCTTATGTCACAGAGCCACACGCAGCATCTGGGGACAGATGGGAGATGTGTTTCCGAAGTGCTCTTGAACTGAAATGTCATCATAAACCACAGTGGGCATTCAGTGGGACACAGCCAGGCTGGCAAAGGGACAGGTTTCCCAGAGCCATGTTTAATGTGGGGAGTACTCTAAAAAGCTTTGTAGTCATCTAAATAGATTTTTTTTGTTTCAGCCATTGTGCCTGCAAACCAAACTCCAAATATCTGGCTTTAATTTGTTGGATCCAGTAAGTGACATTGCTTGGAGAATAAGAAAGCAAAGAAGGCTAATGGTATGTGCAGATTTCAAATAGATCTGGATTACTGGCATATTGGGTTTCCGTAGCAAGGTTTTGGTAGTGGGTGGCTTCTGGGCTGGGTTCTCTGAGATGCTTCCAGAAGTTTCACCCATATCTGACAGATCCAATGCCAGCTGGCTCCAGGATGGATGAACCACTAACCAAGGCCAAGCCCAGCAGCAACCATGATAGTGTCAGTGGGCTAATAGATTTAAGAAGTGGGGAAGAGCTGCACCATAGCAGCCAGAGAGAGAAACAAGAGTAGACACCAATGTCGGTGCAGAAGGAAGGGAAAGAAGTGCTCCAGGTGCCAGGGCAGAGATTCCCCTGCAGCCCATGGTGAGGCAGCCCATGGTGAGTCAGCTGTGCCCTGGCAGCCCATAGAGGTCCATGGGGGAGCATGGGGGAGCATGGAGATCCATCTGCAATCCATGGAGGACCCCATGCTGCAGGAGGTGAGTGCCCAAAGGAGGCTGTGACCCCGTGGGAAGCCGGTGCTGGAGCAGACTCCTGGCAGGATCTATGGGAAGCCAAAGGAGAGAGAAGACCCCTCTGGAGCAGGTTTTTTGGCAGGATTTGTGACCCTGTAGGGACCAACAAAGGAGCAGTTCATTAACTGCAGCCCGAGGGAAGGATGCAAGTTGAAGTTCATGGAGGACGGTCACCTATGGGAGGGACCCCACGGTGGAATAGGGGAAGAGTGTGAGGAGGTCCCTCCCTGAGGAGGAAGGAGCACCAGAGACAGCCTGTCGTGACTGACCACGAATGTTCCCATACCTCTTCCCCTTCAGCTGCTGGAGGGGATAAGATGGTGAATTCCTGAGTGAAGCTGAGCCCGGGAAGAAAAGAAGGGTAAGGGGATGTTGTTCTAAGATGTGTTTATTTCTCATTAACCTGCTCTGATTTGCTTCGCAGTAAGTGAAATTAATTTCCCCAGCACGCCCCACTCCTGCCGGCAAACAAAGGCCGGGAGAGGGCGCTATTGGCAGGGAAATGACGATCKGCGAGGCCGCCCGGGGAGGGGGACCCCGGGAGTGCCGGGATCCACCGGGATGCCGGGACCCGCGCAGGAGCGGGCAGCGAGTGAGCAGCTCTGGTCGTTGCCACACAAAAATTATATTATTTATAAATATCGTATTTGTGCACACAAATGGCTTAGGGCCGGGTGTGTAAAGGATGGGCCAGACTCTTTCCAGTGGTACAGGCAATGGGACATGGGGCAATGGGAACACACAAAATACAGGGAGTTCCAACTGAATATGAGGGGAAAATTCTTTATTGCAAGGATGTCAGGGCAGTGGACCAGACTGCCCAGACAGGCTGTGGAATCTGCTTCCCTGGAGATATTCAAAACCCATCTTGGTGTAATGTTGTGCACCCTGTGTCTGCTTTAGCAGAGGGGTTGGACAGGATGGTCTCCAGAGGCCCCTTCCAACCCCAAACACTCCATGACTCTGTGATTGTGATTGGCAGACAGAGTCCTGCTGCTGCAGACAGAACAAGACAAAGGTGTGCTGATGCTCATTGTAAATGTCAGAACACTTGAGACAGCTCAAAGCTCATAAATGGGAAGAGAAAAAGTCATGGCTGACACACCTGTCCTGTAGGTAAGGGGCCTCTTCACTTGGCATGCAGCAGCACAGGCTTTACCATGCTTGGGCCAGGAACAGACATGCAGAGGAAAATGCTGAGCATGGCTTTTTCCCTGGGGTATTTTTCGGGGTGACATTTCTCTTCTGCACTCCAAGTATCAGCTGTTTGTTCAGCAAATTTTCCACTTTGATTTCCAAGGGAGCCAGTCTCTGCCTYAGGACTGGGTGGCTTCCTGTAGCTACAGGACCACTGTGGCAGGGATGGGGTCTGTTCCAGCTTCAATGTTCTTCAGTAGCACAAGACAAGTATATTAACAACTAAGCCTGACTTTTTCCTCTTTCTTCACCCTCATTGCTCAACTATCTCAGCGTTGGCTCCAGTAAGGTCACCTCACTGCTTTGCCAGTAAATTTTCCTCCAGGGCAGCTAAATTTCTAACTTGGAGAAAAAACATGTGGTTGAAGAAGTGTGGGGAAACCATGAAGCACTTGAGCAGTAAGTTCAGCAAGAGCCAGGCCTTAAGGACATGTCACACAAATGCCGGCAGAGACACATTTTCTCCTCTCAGTGTTTCAGAACTACCTGAAAGACATACGTAAGATAGTGTGAATGCCTGTACATTCACCTTCACTTAGTCTTTGATTCCTGTTGTAGGGAAAGGCAGATTTAGCTAGAGAAAACAAAAGCCAGCAGGAAGCAGAGGAGCTTAACTGCATGGCTGGAAGTGATATGTATTAGCAGGAGAGCTGGGTCTTTTGTTGGAATGAACATATGTCTCTCCTCCCTCTGCAATGCCTGCCATCCCCTGGGACATTGTGCTTTCGTGCCTGCTATCCACAGTGTCACTTTCCTTTGAGCCTTTGACAGGAAGGCTGTCAGCCCACAGCAAGAACCTGCTCTATGCTATGAGCTAATTCTGTCTCTGTCCTTGACACTCCTTGGGGCACAAGACGAGTCCATCTGTGAATATAAATTTTCCCCCACACCCAGCTTTAAAATGGGGAGGAGATGCCTTTCTGCATTTCCCCTATGGGATTTCAAGAGCCCTGCCCCTTGCAGGCTCCAACTTGTCCCAGGCACACAGAGCCCATTGGGCATCAGACCACCTGCCTGAGCAAAGGCTGGGTTTGTTTGCTCCACACTCGCTGCYGGGGCAGGGCTGTGCCGGGGTGTGCCGCCTGATGAAAAGCCAACCCTGACTTCATGTTTGCACCGACAGATGCAGTGGGTTCTGCTTTGACAAGAGTCAAAGCAGTTTTTAAATCTGCTCCAAACCCTTGTCAAGCCAGCTGTTCTACAAGGGAGCTGAAGGGCATTGCCAAAGCTGAGTGTTAGTAGAGACCACATACCCAGCAATTTGGAAATACAGGGCCTCTATTCATAAGAGTTGAGTAAGGCACTTCATAGCCCCAAAGATAYGGTGCTATCTTTTCTGTACACTCAGAAGAACTAACCCCATTCACTGGCAGACTGGTAGCTGACCCCAGGAGAGCTGTGTTGAGGAGTTGGGTGGGGTTTTTTTCTTCAGCTGTGAGGAGCTGGGTTGTGGTGCTGTGACTGGGCTKGTGTCTGTCATGCAGCCATAAGACTGTACCTGTCAGCTTGGTGGTCAGGTGCTGGTTGTGTCCAACTACTTGTCAAAGCTCAGCATGCTGGAGGTGCCTGCCAGCACAGTGTGGCAGTTAAAATACATGGGTTACATTTTTGACAATGGCACAATGACATTTAGAAATTTTATTCCCAAATCTGTGCTTGGGGGAGASGCTCTGGGGAAAAGCATACCCTATCCCATAGTCCTGTGGGCATCACTAACAAGGAACAAAACGGGTACTCTGAGGGAGGGAGGAGGTTGAGACAGTCTGGGACACCTGGTCATGCCTGATGTACTGTGCCACAGCAGGGTCTTGCAGTCTCAGAGCCAGTGAGGGGCTTTCCTGGGCCGATACTCAGCAGCAAAGCCCTCTCAGGTGCTGTCAGTGCCCGCGGGGCGATGAAAACAGCCAAGGGGCTCCTGTAGCAATGGTGACAGTGCAAGGCACACTACTGTCTCACAGGATGTGCTGGCACCTCACCCGTCCCTGTCCCCAGTACGCTGTCATTACTGAGCCAGGTGGGGGAGCTGACCCCCCGCTGGGCCATGGCTGGCGCTACACCCCCGGCACAGGCTGTCCCTGGGCTGCCGCTCAATGTGATGTAGCCTGAGGTGGGCAAGTTTATTTTTACCATTACTTCGGAAAGCCCCTCGCAACCAAGGAGGGGGTAAGTTGTTTGATTGTTTTTCCTCTTCTCACATTCCTGGAAAGTGGGGCCAGCTTAAGGCAGGCGCTGTGGAGCAGGACCATGAATCAGGAGGGCTGGGCTCACTGCCTGCCTCTCCCTGGGGTTCTTGGGGAAGCTGGGCCAAATCACAGCCCTGTGAGACGCTCTGCTTAGAGCTGAACCACTTGGTCAAAACTGCTTACCTTGTTTTGGGTTTCCCCTTTGCCTGATCCTATGTTGCCTGCCCAGCACCAGCTGTGCTCAGAGCTGGCTTGAACTGCTGGTACCTTGTGGCCTCACATTATCAGAGCCTGAGGGATTGAAGCCTTTCCTGGGAGACAACTCTCCCCTTTGCCATGGGCTGGGATGGCAGGAACTCTAACTCCTTCTCTTCCCCAGGCCGTAGCAGCTCTTGCCCGCAGGATTGACTCTCACCATGGGGCTAAACTTCCTGCTGGAAGTTCCTGCTTAGATAACAGCAGAGGTCCAAGTCATTCTTTCCCTCTCATCTGATCTTGTCTCTGGAGAATGCCAATTAGGAGGCTCAAGTGGTCTTAACGCCCACGTTTGTTGAAGGCCAGAGTCCTTGGCCTTTCCCGGGTTCACACCTGCTGCTGTACACGCCAGGACACTCTGGGGAGCCTGTGGCTGCTTCTAATCAGATTTTTCTGATTTCAGCATAAGCTGCTCAAATCCCATGACAGAAGCTTATTGTTCAAAGATTGCTGGCACTCTGCTATATCAAATAAGGTTTGACATTGCAGGATTGTACATCACATGTTGGCAGAGACTCATTCATATGATCCAAACCCCCTGAATGCTGTGTGCAGAATGGAATGGAGAGGCTTCCTCCAGCTTCTTTCTCTCTCCAATTTACAATCTTCTCTCCTGTCTTCACTATGATGAACCATGTCTTGCAATCACACAGCTCCCTCAGATAGTGATTTCAGATAAATTGTGAGTTCCTGGTGGGAGAACTCCCTTAGACAGAAGAACCACCTTGACTGAATTCACCAAAGGAAATTGGGAGCTGTATCATTATTTCAAAGTTGCATTCGAAAATACCTTGTTTACATTTAATTAGGGATGTGCCCCCCACCTGCTATGAAATATTAATTTAATCATCACCTTTTTTATCCTTTATATTCTTTCAAAGACCAAGCAGGTTGAGTTTGGGGAACACTCAATTACTTTGAGATGTATTGGCAATATCTACTGCAGGACCAGCTTCTTGTAAGACAAGCTGCAATGGCCTTGGCATGTGTCTCTTTTCCTCCCCTCTCTCTTGCAGACACACACATACAGACCCCTTCTAAACAAGCCCTCCTTACTGCTTACTTACTCATGTGGTCCAAAGATTCTCTGCTCTGGAAAAGGTGTTCTTCACAGGGACAGGTCCCATCACTGTTCTCTGTTGGCCTGACACTTTTATGCCTACACAAACACCAGGGTGTAAATTTGCTCCTTGTGTTATGGCCAGGTTTAGACATCTTCAAGTGCTCCTCTATGTCCAAACCATGCAGACAAAGTGCTCACGAGTGTGACCCCTCACAGACTCTCAGGGCACTTCTATGTGGGTTGCACTCACTTTGTCAAGGGCAGGCATTCCCCTGCAACACACCATTAGACACTTTTTCCTAGCAGGGGCTGGAAGCCCAATGTGCTCATGTGACTCCAGGGGCTGAGGCAATGGACACGTGTCTCTGTGTTAATCCAGTCCTGGAGACCAGCCCCACCCCAGGAGCTCAGAGCACAGCCAAGCACCCTTTGGATGCAGGCTCCAAATCTCAGAGGATCAGACTGGCTCAGAGGACTGCAATTCCAGAGAAAGTCCCTTATCGACTTGCAAGTGACCACTGCCAGCAAATACCACCCAAAGGGTGGAGGTGAGACTCATGGCCAGGCTAAGCTGGGCTGGGGCCAGGAATGCCAGACCCCTGCCAGCCGGGGCTGCAGAGGCAATGCTTCAGAGAGCATTAGCTCCGAAGGCAGTGCTCATCCTACCCCATCTGCTGAAACCAGTTGGCAAAGGAGAGGAGGAATTTAGCASTATATGGAATCTGGCTATCCAGAAAGGCAAGATGAAAAAAAAACAGAGATGGAAATAAAGGGTGATCAGTAATCATGCCTTTAATAGCTTGTAAATAGTTGTTTTAAAATTCCAGGCAACTAAGATGTACATTTGTTGTGTGTAAATGACATCTGAAAAAAACACGAGACCACAATCTGTTTCTTCCCTTTTCTAAAGCACATAAATAAAGTATCAGTCACCTCAATATACAACAGTTAAATGAAAAAAAAGGGCTTGTTCTGTTTTTATAATTCAGTGTCACCTGTTACCTGAAGTATTAGCTAGAGTTTTAGCTAGAGAACTTTCTTACAGCACATAGAAAAAATCAGAACTTCATCCGTCCAGAAAAATACAAGAAATTTCCACTCCCTGCTCTCAAACTCCACTTCCTAATAAAGCATCAGAATACCATTTTTCTGCTAGAAAACAAAAGACCCCAAAAACTCTTCAAACTCACCAGGGAAACGCTGTTTGTCCCATAGAGCTTATTAAACTTAAAATGGTAATGGTGCAACAACCTCCACTTCTACAACTTTAACGCAGAACCTGATTTGTGTCAGGATGAACAAGGACAAAAAACACTAGTTTACAGGGGGCCTTTAGTGCCTGGGGCTGCTCAGTGGCATCTCAGACTCAATTTAAGTATCCAGTTAATGCTTTCAGCTGAGACAGCACCTGCAGGCTCAGGGACTTCAGCCCACTCAGCAGATCTGGCTGAGGCCTTTTCATGGTTCCCTTGCTGAACTCAGTGCAACCCCACCTTGCACAGTAGGACTGGAATTCAGATGGAAAGACACTAAGGACCCTCCTCTCACTCTGGTGCTGAGGCTCAGCCCTTGTCACAATTCAGCCAAGTAGTTCTGGCTACCACCCACCAACTGCAGATGGTTTCCWTAGGTGCAGGATAACTTTATCAGCAATACAACATGGCCCTTGATGGAGGGTTGCCCTTGTCTTTTCCCATTACAGAGCATGTGAGCACCRTGTACGTGGGGCTGCTTCTCATGAGGCTGCTTGGGAGCCTATGCTCTAGCATAACAGATCACATACAGAGGAATGAAAGTCAGGCTGATATATTCATCCATTCCCTAGCCATTTCTATTCTCATTGAATAGAAAACCTCTGATCTAGGGGGAGAAAAAGATGAAAGAATACAAAATGAAGCAAAAATGTGACCTTTACTGCTTTTTCATCTATTGTAGTTTTGACTAAAGAACCTGACCTATAAGTGCAGTTAACTCCGGAGACCAATGTACTCTTTCACAGTCTTCTGTGTGTGCAGCGCTAGAACCAAGACACAACTGCAGGTGTGAAGGAACAACATCACAGTCCTCGGAACATTTGCTCTGTACACTTGCCAGAGCTTGAGTTTGCTGATAAAGTTAAGCAAAGAAGTTCATTCTTCTTAAGCACAAAAAAACCCCAAAAACTGTCAAACTGGTTTCCCTTACAGAGAGATTCTAAACTGACATAAATAATTATTTAGTCTTGATTAAAAATAATATATTATTCTAGATTTTTGGTTTTTTAGTTCTCATGTAAAACCCCTATACTCTTGACATCTAGGAACAAAAAAATAAAAAAAACAGGCACTTGCTGTGCCTTCTCAAGCACTATTGTGGTGTTTAAGGGACACGGAGGGACTTAAGAACTGAGGTTAATGCCTACAGTGGAAAACAAGAGGTGTGCTTCATGCTGTTGGCTTTTTCAAGTCTCGGATTTGCTTAATCAGGTAGTTCTTCTCATCAGTGAATTGTTCGTCGTCCGTCCTTTCTTTCTGGAAATTGCTCAGAAACTCAATTAGCTTGGGTTGGTTTTTCAACAGGATCTCCACAATAGGCTGTGTTTTGTTTGGACTGGCCACAAAAACCTAACAGGCAAACAAAATCAAGCAGAGAGATGGTGAGGGCGAGGGGAGAGAGAGAGAGAAGCACATCAGTGACAATATCCCTAGAAGTTACTTTCTAACAAATCAGCTGAAGGCGGGCAGGCAGATACTCTACTGCTACACACCTCTATCCCAAGGCAGACAGAGTTCAAACACGTTGGTTCAACAGCCGATTGAAGCAAAAGTATGACCATGTGTGTTATCACTTCCCTTTCATTTTGCTCTTTGTTGATAAAAGTTTTTGACTGTAAACCCAGCTGATGAGAGGGAGCTGTCAATTCTCAGCCTCTTCTACCCACAAGACAAATACACAGAAATTAATTATCAAGAGAATGGAAAAGCTTTGTGTCAGTATCGATACCATTTCCATATTAAACCAGGCCTAAAATTAGATTTGCCAGCTTTGTTTTGGTTTGGAAAAGTATGTCAGAGGCCTCACTTCCCTCTGCCTAATCCATTCATGTGAGCATGGAAGCTTACAGCAGCAGGAGCAGTAGGGCTGTGGTACACCCATCACCTTTGTAGCCCTTGCTGACCAGAGGAGGGTGGCAATGCAGGAAGGTGAYATGAGACACAGATACTCACCTGGCACAGCCAGCCCAGCACTGTGGACCTACTGGCCTTCAACAACAGTGGGTTTTAAAGATAAACCTGCCCATGGTCTGCTTTTTCCTCCTGTAATCATTAAAGCTTCAGTTTTCGAGCTCTGGACATGACCACTCATGCCACTGCTTCTTTAACATTTTCTCTGGGTGGAGTGTCACTTGATGACAGCAAACTTGATTGCAAAGGCAAGTGGTGAAAAGCTCTTCTTAGGGACCACTTTTCAGAGCCACAGAGATGGGGCTCTGGGTATGTCAGTGAGAAGGGACAGATTGGGCAGGGGGCTCACGGTGGGAACACCCATGCAGCACACCCCAGCCACCCCAGGAGCAGCTCCCACATCTGGCTCGCACCGAGGTTACCATGGCTGGTCAACAAACACTGCCTGAGTGCTTGTGCAACGACAGAAATAACTCCAGTTATTCTGTGCCCGATGAGAAGATATTAAGGATGGACAGAACTGGAAAGCATCCAGTTTCCCTCAAAGCCTGTCCAAACCAGAATGAAAACAAACATCTGCTGACAGTACAGAATGGTATGTTGTCCTGGCCGAGCAAGGCAGCGCCACCACTGTCTCCTAATCTGGGGCTCTTGTGCAGGTCCCTTTGTCTCCACTGAGGTCGTGCCCACAGGAAAACCTGGGCCATATCCAGCTGCTCAGGGAGGAGTGGTGCTACCTGAAGAGGATCACACTGTCCTGGAGGGCTGTGCTACATCCCCTTGTTCCTAAGGTAACACCTGGTAAAGCCTGGGGCAGGGTTCAGACGGGAACCACCATTAGGCTTCATATTCCACAATCAGAGGATGTGATACAAGTGGTGGGGAAAGCACCACTTGAGGGGAACATGTGGAAAGTGTGGGGTTCAACACACTCCAACAGTACCCCACTGAGTACTTCAATCCAAACTGGAAGCTAGAAGTACTTTTTTATTTCACAAAGGTGAGGCAAAGCATCTGCTCTTAAACCCCCTTCATCCCAATACCAGAATAGTCTTAATCTCTGCCTATGCTTTCATCTCCTCTGGTTCCTTCCTCCTAGGAGTCCCTGCTACAAGGTGCTTTGCCCTCTGCTCTGCAGAAAGAGCTGCAACCTCTGCCAGGCTGGGTGAACACTCCCCAAGTATATTACGAGGTCTTCCTTGATCCAGTGGTCAGCCTGTGGTCCAAGTGAGAGTACACTATCTAAAACTATTCACACAGGTCTCTGCCTAGCCCTCCTCTAATTATCCTGAGCTATAATCCTAAATAATTCCTTTTTATTCCCATTTGACAACTAAAATTTCTCAAGTGCGGCACTAACAGCCTCCACTCCTGAGGATCCCTTCTGAGCAGCCACTTTCCTGCAAAATGCCTGAAGTACTCACAGGGCAGCCTTGTACCAGGGACACATCTGCCTTTAAGTAGGACAGCCAGTTCACAGCTCTCACTACACCTGAGGTACTCGCAACAGCTGCAGCATCTGAGAGCAGCTCTTCCTCCTTTGCAGATAACTTTAATACACTGCTATTCATGCATTGGCTCCCTTTAGACTGGGAGAAAAAGGTTTTGGGGATCACTACTGAATGCACTTTATAGCTTTCCCGTCTGTGCTTATCTAGAGAACATGAATCTTGAAATCTCATGTTATGGATGTTTGGCTCTGGATGGGGCTGCAGCACTTCAGGATGGAGCAGCCCCAGGATGCACCTCCTGTGTACTGACCTAAAGCCGGTGATCATGCTGCTGGAAACTGCATACTTCCAGGACTTGGACTATGATAAGCCCCCAGTCATCTGGATGAGCTGCCTTGGGGAAAAACAGGATATAAGCCTACAGGCAGGGATTTACAGATTTTCATAAGAAATTTTTATTTTGGAGTTCAGTTCCAAAGAAACCATCCAATACACTGGCAGGACCCATATGTTCGGAAATCATCTGATGACAATGCAAATGGAAGCCATCAAGGAAGTCCTGACCTTTAAGTGCTGAACATCTTCCTTCAATGATTATTAGGCCTTCCTAATAGTTGTCTGAAGGGTGACTCTCAAAATCAAGAAAACTAAATAATTCTTCTTGTAAAAGCTCTTTCCTCTGTGAACAGAACTGGAAGGTTGGTGGTAATCCTAGTAAATAGCATTTCATATTGGTCCTACCCACTGGTATTACCATAGCAAATAATAAAGAACTTAGGTTAATAGAAGCCATCACATCCTGTTTATCTTCCTGTTCAATTATTTATAGATTACAATCTTCCCCATGCAAAACTGGCAAAGTGAACATTGAAACAAAGATCATCTCAACTGCCAGTCTTGCTCAATGTCAACAGGGACTCGTAAAGAGAGAATGTTCAAGGACCAGAAAATTCCTGAAATGTTATTCCATACTTCAGCTAAGCAAACAAAATCAATTCTGTCTGTATCAACTGACCAGTTTCATAGAGCCAGGAGCAGGACCACCATGAGACTTTATGTTAGAAAGGGTCCCCCTCATTCAGAACTCTGTATTGTCGTAGAGAAGGAGATCAGTCCCTAAAAACAAAGACATTATTAATGCTATCTGGAACATTTCAACTGAAATGAAATTGGATTGAACCACAGAGAACTTTGTTTCACCTGTGGTTTATTATGAAAGGATACATGTTCTAGAGCACTAAATTCAGATGGATGAGAGAGACAGAGACCCAAAATAAAGCCAGTATCCATATAAAAAATTCCATCTCTAAATATTGCTGTCTCAACACAGAGACAGCTTCGTTTCATGAGTATTTGCAAAAGACCTGGAATGAAAATCTGAAGCTTCATAAGTTGTCCAAAGTGAAATTGTTGCTACCCTCTCCATTAAAAGTTCCAATGTATTTCTTTAAACAAAAATCAAAATTACTTGATTAGAGAATTTGACCTTATTTCCTTACAATTAACAACCAGTTATTACCACCCTCTGGGACAACAGCAGAGCAAAAGTGATTACAGAGGTTGGAGCCCTGGACTGAGTATTTTAAGACTTACTCTGGGGTCATGCACAATCTCGCTGTCAAGACGCAGCACGCACAGCAGTGCCATACGGTTCGTGCTGCTTATAGCACAATGCTTCACATAATAATCCTTGCCCTTTAGAGTGTCCAGCTGGGAAACAGAGAGGACACATCCCCACAAACACAGCTTCAGCTTCATACCAGGAGCAAACTGTGAGTATGGTCAAATTATGTGAGGCCATTTGCAGAGCAAGCTGCAGGAGGTRGCTCATAATGTGCATGAAAGAGAATGGAAAAATGAAACTGAGGTCACAAAACACAGTGTACCCATTCTATTTTTAGATGTAAACAGTAAAATATATCTTGCTAAATGTATCCTTAAGGACAAGAAAGTCACAATCCCAGCTCACTGCTACAGGGTGTTTCCTTCAAAACAGTGAATTGTCTACRTGAAATCCAAAAAAAAAAGCTGTTATTACCCTTTGTGAATATGTGAGGTCAAAGTAATACCTGCACCACATTCACATACATCTGAAAGATACAGCTCCCCCTACAGATAGGCAAACTTGAAGTGGTCTCCACTAATGAAGCGCATCACAAACCTGTCAGAGAAACTGGAAAGTTCTTCCCAAAAGAAGTGTGTGCACTCAAGATTGACATCTCTCCACTGAAATCACCACTGAGAAAAACCGGTGACTCTCAAAGCCTACCACTCTAAATGATCACCCTGGATTATTTATGAAGGAGGAGGGAAAGGGTGAGGTGTGTTAGCTTTTCCTTATGATGAAATACTGGGTAATCCTTATGCATACATTGTCTGGGACATCCAGTTTTACAAAGCAACCGCAGACCTTTAGGATGGTGCTGCAAGGCAGAAAGTCCATTTTTTTCCAGCAAAAGGAAGAGAAGGGCCTGGAATTAGGAGGAAAATTTACTGTCTCATAAATGGAGAATGGAAAGAGGCATTGCAAGTGGCACTCTGTCTTCATTTTCCCACTCACAGCAGGTTGGATGGATGAAATATTCTCAGATCTTGGGGGTATTGGAATTTCAGCTACAAAATATTCCTGCAAAATAAGTTTGCACTAGACATGCTCATCATTTAAATCTCTATTTTACAGTTTCAAATCTGCAATAATTAGAAATCACTTCAGGGAGTAAGAGTCATAAGCCTTTTTTTAGGTCAGCTGGGGCATGGGAGTGTTGGAATCTGTACGCTTACAAAACAAATACTTTTTTCATTTCATCTGTGTCTAATTGGTGACAGATCTACATCAGGTAATTTAAACCCAAATCTTTTGGCAGCTCAGACAGAGCAGCAAGTATCTACTTCTCAGCAGACCTTTGATTCCCCATCACCGTGGTTAGTCTACTGTAATTTCAGCCAGTACTGCATAGGTATTTTGCAAGCACAATTTAAAAATGCAGGCAGTTTAAAATTTATGAGATTAGAAGCTGAGGATAAGATTCCTGTCCCAGTTACATTAACATGGAATTATTACAACTGACAGAGAATTGTGTCCAGGCTGAGGGACATAAATCCAGAAACAGGAGCAGGGGCACTGCACAATGGCACAAGCAGCCAGTCTCTTAAATACATAAGGATTTCAGTAGTTCTCAGGAAGTTAGAATTCAATTTAGGAAGTGAAATCAGAGGGAAAAGAGCTTCCCTGACCCTCTCTACATAACTGATTCACGATGCAATTTTTTGCAACATACCCTATAACGATCCTGCCCCCTGGGGAGGAGCTGGATGCTGCTACATCACAGAGCTCAGATCGCAGTGAGGAGGATCCTAAATAGGGAGCTGCTGCACCTCTACAGTTACTGTGTTGTGTGCTGTTGGTGTTTGTGAACAAGCAATTTCCAGCTGACCAGGTACTGCTCTGAGTCTGCAGGTCCCCCACAATGAGCAATGTGTGCATGAGGCAGTGTGAGGAATGCCATGGGAATGTCATGGCCCCGCTGAAATGCTGCTGGCTGGTGCCACTGGAAAAGACCAAAACATCCCACGGAGGTATCTGAGGACAGAGTTTGSCCCTTTGAATGGAAGAGACACAACATCACCATTGCTCAGAGTTTGTTTTGCTGGCATTCCAAGCTCCAAGAATTAAGTCCACATGGCAGCAACTGCAAGTGGTCAAGCAAGGATGAACCTGCAATATCCCACTCTAACTGGAAACCGGAATGCAACATACAGGAAGGGAGGAATGGGAAGGCAGAATGGGAGGAGTAGCAATGTGTGACATGGTTGCACACTGGAATCCTTTCATGTTATTCCAAGTCCTTTTGAACATCTCCTAAAATAAGTAAAAGCAGCCATTCATAAGGTCTTGTCCATGCCTATCATTAATTCAGGAAGAGCAACTCATGTCTTTCTTAAATAAAAATCTTGCATTTATTCAAAGAGTAGCTAAGAAAGTCCAATCCTCTGATACCTTCTCCCCATTGGCATCTCAAAGGCTGCAAGAGTCTGGAGCCAGACTGCTCACTTATCTTGGATGATAAGGAGGAAGAAGAGGAATAGAAGTTACTCACAGTGGTTCAGTTAACTGGAGGATGTCAGTAAGGGAACAGCTTACCAAGCTGCTTATTTCACAAATGGAATTTTTATTTTAATCCTCCATGAAGCTTTTTTTTTTTTTTTTTTTTTTTTTTTNTGTTTCCAGATGTGTTGGGAACTTCTCCTGGCACTCTGACACCCATGGAGGAGGAGGCTCTTGGCTGCCAGAGCTTCTGGGAAGTGCCGGTGAAGCCTGGTCACTGTCCCAGATGTGGACTTCTGGTTCCTAAATAGAGTCTGTTTTGCAGAGATTTTTAAAAACTTATCTGTAATTTTGATCCTATTCTGTTGGTTTTTTTTTTTTTTTTTTTTTTTTGTTTTAGAAAACTAAGAGCTTTTTGGAGAAAGTGCACATTCCCTAAGCTTCCACACTTAAGATCTGAAAGGTTTTTTTCCAAATCAGGAATGGCATAAGTACAAAATGCAACACATCACCCTGAATTTGTGGAGGGTGATGTAACCTCTTTCTACAGTAATTTGGTGTTATCTGGTATCTTTCTTAACCAGCTTAGGGAGGAGATATCTTTAGAGGCTCAAAATTCCTCTTCTGATAATCTTTAACAACTCTATTTAGTTTGAAATTAACATGTTCATTTCAAATCAGAGTTAGTTTTGCAAAACAATCCAACTCACCCTCTGCCCCGGAGTACAGAACTCTTTTGATAGGAAAATGGTAAACTTCTAATTTATTAAAATTAATTATAATGAAAAAAGGGACACTGGTTTTGTCTGGCAATTGTTTAACACTGCATTAATATCACTGTAAAAGGATGGAAGCATTAAACTCATTTCAAGCTCAGATTTATCAAACCTTTTTAATATCTTTAAAAGCAAATCATGTTTGCACTGATGCCCAACACCAGCACTATCTACTTTTAATCTTAATGTAGAGTTTTAAGACCCGTTTTTTTATCTGTACTCAGAATCACATGGTAAAATGATTTAGAGTTGGGGGAAGATGCCCTGGATACTACCTAGTAGTTGTGTATTTTGTTACCTCTAGCTCATGGCTATTTGATTGACGACTCCTAGCTCAAACCAAAATGATACTGCTTTAGGTCTTACCTGAAGGCCGGCAAAGAGAAATCAGAGGTTGAGTGATAGAAAGGTTTTCAATTATGACACTCTCAAATGCTGGAACTGACTGTAAATGCCAACCTTTGCCTTAGTTATCTGGACTTCTTGTCCAGCTTGAAAGACACTTTTATGAGGAGAAGAGGAAGTCTGCCACCTCTACAACTCATACTGGCTCACCTTGAACACATGGAATGCTTCAAACTGAATGTTGGGGCTTTTATCTCGCAGCAAGTTCATCATCAGCTTCAGGTTTTCTGGTTTGCTGATGTATTTTGTCATGATGGCAAAGTTGTGTCGGTCCAGAATCAGTTCACCCAGAAGCTATAAGCACAATTAGAAAAAGCACTTTTTTTTTTCATTTCACCACATMATTTTTGAATGTAAAGAAAGCAGCAGCAGCCTATTTCAGTGTTTGCTTAAGAGGTTTCAATGTCACTACTTAAAAAAAAAAAATTAAATTAAAAAAAAAAATTTAAAAAAAAAAACCAAAAAAAAAACCTAGACTTGTTATGATGGAGTGAGTTACTTAATGCCCAATAATGCTCATCTTCTAAATACTACAGAGAGCAATCCCACATATGGGCTGAGTATAACGGGGACTGCTTGCTGTGAGCAGTTTGAGTTTGGACAGAAGCAAAGTAGTGTAGTGCAGCTGTCCCACCAAGACCACCAAGACACCTTCATTTCATTCCCATGTCACATTCACACACCCCTCTGCTTCCATGTGCTGGCCAAGTCACACTTGGTGCACCAAACAGTAACTGCCATGTAACTCCTAAGTTCATTGTAASCTATGTTCTGAACCAGGTCTGAGGTCAGAGGAAAAGAGGTAACACTTGTTCCGTAGGAATAGCCCAATGCTTCACCAGAGGTCCAGGAAAGAAAAGAGAGTGAGCTCCTGTACATTTCAGGAAGAGCATCACAAGCCTGTAGTTGTTTTGATGGAAAAATGGCTGCTCCATTGCCATACATGMACCTTTATATTCTGCATAACACGGAGTACAAATTTAGGAGGAAAGTGCTGAGACTTTACCTTCAAAGATTGTCTCTTTGTCACATAATTCTCAGAATGAAGGAGTTTTTCATAATCCTCAAAGATCTAGAGTAACAAGAAAACACAAATTAATCAGATTCACATTCATCCTTCCTGCTCTTGGTCCTTCTCACTCCAGAGGAGCAGCAGAGGCCACAGCAGTGCCTCTCTTTAATACTTCACTGCAATGCCAGGCCCAGGTCTTGTGGCCCTTTCTCTTGGCTGGCTATCACTATGCTGTGAATCAATGCCCAGGAACACTCCTCTTCCAAGTGCTGCAGAGGGGGATATCACATATGGACTGGATGGAACAGGGGCTGGTGTGAGCCAGCTAGGACAGAAATATGCAGTGCCTGGACAGCCTTCTCTTACAAAAGGGTGGCTCTGSTGCCAGGGTGGGTCCAGCACATGACATCCAGTCACTCATATCATGGTTATCCCTGACTGCGTGACTTAATACAACACTCAAAAATGGTGATGGTGCATCCCAAATGCTCCTTTTATGAAATGCTACCTCATCTGCCATCAGCACCCTCACTCATTAAAGTTGTTTGCCCAATGACAGTCACTAGGAGCAATGTGTGTGCTGGATTTTGCAGGGATGGACCAAGGGGAATCTTGTGGTCAAGAAGACTGAGAGAGAAGGCTACAATATGTTCAAAGCATCTAACAAACAAGCAGAAAAAAATCAACACTGCTGTCCAAAAGTCATCCAACAATAAAAAAAAAAAATAAAAAAAAGCTCGCCTAGCCAATTAATACTTAAAAATTTAAAACATTAAATAACTGTAGAATGGGGACTGTTCCAATGGAGTGCTTCAGTATTAAAAGAAAAGATTAACAGAGACGCTTACTTTGCTCCAGCTAAGCTGCATTTGTGACTTAGCAATAAGCCTGCTCTTTATTTAACCTTTGTGGTAACCAGAACAAAAGAAATTTGTCTTTTTATTTTGCCAGTTAAATAAAGAATACCTCAGGTAACATGAAAACATAACCCACAGTGTCATTCCATGATCTGTATCAGCCCAATTTTAGTTGATACCAATGCAATTTTTCTGACCCACATTTGGTCCAAAGTGGAGCCAAAAAATCAAAGTGAAAAATAGCAGCTAACCAAGGGAATAATTGCTTTAGGAAGAGAATAGGAATACTTAGAACTCAGTCCCTCATTTAGGTATGTATAATTTCCACTAATGTGAGAACTTTTTTCAGTATCTCTTCTCCACTGTCCTTATTATAAATAACACTGGTAAGACCTTATTGTTGCCAGAGTATCACAAAACTGTTTAAAATTATGCACAAGGTTTTACCCATGATCTATTCACATGCCAACTTTCAGTTGCATTTACACATGAGGAGATCCAATGCACGCAGAGAGTAATAAAACTTGTTCTTAGACTATGAGTTCTCCTGAAACYTTGGCATGTGTCCCCAAGTGTGTGCAGAGGGGGTACCCACATGTCACATGCCATACATTAATTCTGCACTAGTACAAAGTAGTGCTTGGTTTTGCAGTCCTATGTGAGGAGTTCATGTGGAGCATGAAATCCTCTGTGCATTTTCTCCTGGCCAAGCATAAATAGATTTTTTTTTAAGTCTTTCAGGATTGATACTTACTACATCATAATTTTGTTCCAGAAATTCTGCCACCAACAATTTGTGTCGTGTTAACAGGTCCTGGAGAAGAACAGAGAAAGGTTACATGAGAGACCATGGTCCTTTGATTGTCTCTTGATTCTCAAATATATTTCAGCATTTTTGACCAGAAGGCATTTACAACATGATTTCTATAGACAACATTGCATTCATTATCTGTTTAGGAGGACTTTAAGAAGTCAGTTAATGTAAGGCTAACAGAATTAATATAGAACTATTCTAATACTTTCTTTTTATTCCTGTTTCCCTCCCACTTTTTTTTTTTTATTGTTGATAGGTCATAGTGCACAGTACTCGCATTAAACAGGGGTGGGGAAAAGGAAGAAAGTAAACTAAACCTTTATGGAGGATGTACTATGGTCTCCAAGGCAAAAGTGACTTACTTGCTACCCCATAGCTGGGAATGATGCTGAAGCTGAACTGCTATTGCTCATCTCCAAGAATACAACAAGGAAATTCAAATTCAGCCACTGAATATACATTTAGCTATTTAATAATGAAAGCTAGGCACCAACCTAAGCTAAGCCATCCATCCTCCCTCCACCTCCACTCCCTTCCCAGGAAGGAATCTCAGGTAAGTGGGATGAGTCTCTTTTTCTGCCCCATGTTGGCTTTCTGACACAAAGCAGTAGCAGATCTTTCAGACAGCTGGACAGGCTGCCTCCCATTCTAAARGGCCAGATAATTCAGATTTAGATTAAAGGAACTTCTTCCACTGAATGGGGATCCTGGTTCTCAGCGACAGAGATGCAAATGTTCAGAGGCAGCAGAAATTGAGTCTCTTTACTGGATGAATAGTTATGAAATTGAGTGGCGAGGGTCAGGCATTTAAGTATGATTTTTATTTTATTGCTTCTATTAAAACATAACATTGATCGCAATAAATGCCTGATGAAGTCCATTCAACTTGGTATTTTTCAGTGAATCAGTTTCTGCTCTTTTTCATGATCTTATCCTTGGTTTCCTCACCCAAGCAGAGACTGAAGCTGATGAGGAGCTCAAGCAGATGCACAGACACATCCTCACAAATTAAAAAAATCCTTTACATACTAATCCTTTATTTTTACCATCAATTATAAGAGTTAAACAGAGGGCTACAGAATCCATTGCCTGTTTTAAAACTGCAGTGACAGCAGTTTTAAAGACTGAGTGAAACACATGATTCACGAGCTTTTATGCAGGGCACTTAGAGGCACATACAACATCCTTCAATAGGGGGCACAAATGAAATATAATCCAAAAAGAGTTTTTCATAAGAAATAACAAGGAAGCTTGGAGCAGCAGCATTCAGCCAGCACATTCCAACTGCTGCTTGCACCCTCCACAGCCAGCTTATACTTTGAAACACAAGGCCTTTTCCTCTGATTTTTTAACAGCTCTGTTTCCTCTCTGCAGTGCACCTGGATAACTTTAATTAAAAGCACATCTCCAGATCATAAAAAATTCCAGTGCTTCCCTACTATAAATATCCTCAGACTTTAATGCACATTTAATGAAGCCCTCCTCTGGTGCATAGACTATCCAAGGCTTTCAGCTCTGAACCAGACACCCCAGTGGCRACACTACAAGCCCAACATGGGGGCAGAGAATCGAAAGCCTGAGTTCAGAAATCCAGCCACCAAACAATCAGAGCACTTATTTTTCCAGTATTAGAAATGAGGTGGCTCCATATTTAATGATTCAATCRCTTCCACATCACTTCTTCTATTCTAATATATGTCCATCTATTCAGAGTAACAGACAAACAGGAGATAAGATCAGAAGCTGGTTTATTTCCAGAACTGACCATGTATCAGGAGTTAAGAGGCAATTAAAAAAAAAAAACAACAAATAAACAACTAAAAATGCCATTTATACATTTCCCTCAAGCATTTTAAAAGGCAATTTCTATCCTTTGTCTGAGGGTGAACTGCCCTCATACGCCTGTCTTTCCAGTGCATGTGAGGATGTAGAATCCTATTTTTAAATCCTGCTAAAAATACACTCAGTTCACAGGGGACAGAACTACATTTCACATCTGTAGATCTGTGAACGACATCAAATCCTCTTTTTTGAGAGGGTTGTAGCAGTCTAGAGTCCTTGCCACAGCTGAACTGACCCTTGTCCCCATCCTGCCTCCTGGCTGGGGTGAAGACTGTCCATCACCAACAACACACTCTGCTGTCATGCTCAAAGCYGGACCTGGGGAGAAGATGCAAATCTCTTCTCTCAAGCTGGGAACTGAGTCCAGGAATACTTTTTCTGACCAGAGACAAATATTCTTCTGAGCATAGAGTAAAATGCCAGAAAGAGAAGATATAAATATCTCAATTATGGTGCATTTTTATATCTTACCTGTGTTTCTGTGCTGCTTTGACTTTCATAACCATTACCTTATAGACACCACAACAGCAAAGTTTAAAGTAAGGGAAAGGTGATTCTATTGATTAAGGGGTGATTTGAATTGCTAATCCTGCTCAAGTCATTACTGAAGAATGCAACGTTATCTCCATTATGCAAATCTTCATTCCATTCAGCAGATTAGTAAAAAAMCAGCAAAAAGCCAGGTTTCAGTTTATTTGGAATCACTGAGCTAAGCTCTAACATTCCTTACAATTACTCTTGCAGTCTATCTAATCATGTTTCTAATTAGCTTTGAATGGAAAGAATAAACAATGTGTTTCTATGACAGCAAGGAGCACTGTGATATAAGAAGAAAAGGAGTTTCATCTATATTTAGAAKAGTCTTTAACTAAAAAGATTTTCCCTTAGCTTTCTTAAATTGTTTTTCAGAAATAAATTAATCTTCCCTGTAAGTGAGGTTCACAGGCACCATTTTTTTTTCTCAAAGACCATAATAGCACCTGGTGGGAATGATGATGGTCACATACAAACTCAAAAAATTTGGCAGCTTCACTGAACCTCATCTTTAATACAACAGAAACTCTACAGTGAGTCCATGCAGTGCTTCCACCTATTTAGCTTTTAGCACAACAGTCCTTACACTGAACCGTGGTTCACAAAAATAAGACTATGAATACATTATAAAATAGTCAGCAGTCTTGGCATTTAAAAACTTTATTGCTGAGCTCAGAAGGGAGAGCAAAAATTACAATTATTACAAATGTTAGTTTTATATTATCCCTTCTATTTACTGGTGTGGTCATGATGGGCAGTGGGTTTGTCTTGGGGGAAGATGGGCAGAGAAAAAGGCTATGCATTTTACAAGAATTGTGTGTAATACATGATTAATTTGAGTTTTCAATGGTAGTGTAAAAGACCACAGGTTATCAGGGTGAAGAATGTTAATTAAATACAGATTTAAATTTCTCTAAAGATTCTTTGCAGATTTGATCACTGTTGTGAATCCTGCTACAATAAGACTAAGTGTTAATTATATCCCTTACTGAACAGTAAAAAAGCCACCCAGTTCAAAGGAATACAACACTCAGTGATGACTTCTGATGGAGTGCTACTTTTGACACAATGATGCAGGTATTGAATAATTTACCTTGAATGTAGCAAAGGCATCAGAAGCAATATCAAACGTTGACATTTCCACATATTTAAAAAARTCTCTGAACTGTTCTGAAAATAGTATGATTTTGGCCAAGGGTTCATGACGGATACACTCTCTCAGCATTATTCCACAACGTAAGGCAATATTTGGGGATTCATACCTGGAGAATGAACAGAAAACATCAAAACATAGAAGAACAAAGATAAGCAGGCACTTTTCTAGCAACTGGGAACTTTGTAGCCCAGGGAATGCATGAGCCAGAGGAAACACCACACATGGAGGGCAGCTCCCTGCCACAGTGCTGTACCCAGCTGCAGTACCTCATTCCAAAGCTTAGGAGCAGACAGACAGATAAGGCTGCCAGAATTTTTCATTGCAAACCTCTCTCTTCCCAAGCCAAAACACATTTTGGTGTAAATTTGCAGTATACTTCCTCTCTGTGGAAAAACTGTGGGGMGTGTCAAAAATTTCAACAGAGTTCCTTTACCCTTTTGGATTTGTGAGAAAGCACAGCCTTTACAATATAATAATCTCCCTTTTCAGATTTCATTCTGAGTTCCTCACTTTATCCAAGAAAACTGTAACACCTCATTACCATCTATCACCTCCCACTCCTCTTCAAGAGGATACATTGCTCTAGAGTATTAATGAGGAAGGTCGGAAGAGTCTCTTCAGGAAGTCTGCACAGGTTTAAGCTTTCAGTAGCTCTGAATTTTTTTTTTTTTTTTTTTTTTTTCAGTTTAGGAGGAATTTTGCTAAATGCCTCTTCTGAAGAGGCTGTGGCTCTGTTTGGGACACAAGCACCCATTCCTTAAGTTACAATCCTGTTATAGCAGGTGCATTGCAATACCCAGGAGCCAGCACATATCTCAAGCTTGGAGAGGAAGGGAGGGAAGGGGGAGGCAATTCAGATCATCTTCTATTCCTATAAAGTCTTAATTTCTTTAAAGAAATTAATCTGAAACAAAACTGTTGGAAACATATTTAAAAAAAAAATAAAAAAAAAAAATAAAAAAAAAAAAAAAAAAAAAAAAAAAAAAAAGAAAGAATAAAATCCAGCAGTCAAGAAGGACTTAAAATTAACTTCTTCCAGCAGGCTTCCTGAAATCATGTGAAAGTGGTAAAGTCCAAGGGGACAGAAAGCACCCTCTGTTTCAATAAACTGGTTATACTATATCAGAACTGTGTATTATCACCCAGAGCTTATCAGCATCATTTTTGCTTTACGCAATTAATTCCTATCACTAGGTCAAAAGAAATACAAAAACAAAAGGGAAGAAAAAAACAAAATTCCATCTGTGCTGTGAGTGGGCCCTCAAATTTACCACCAGCTTGTAATTTAAAAGAACAGTAGTGTTCTGCAAGCATACCAGAGCTGCATACTTCAACCTGCTGTCAACAATAGTTGGCTTAATGAAAAATGAGTTGCTATTCCAAACAGGCAAGTGAAGCTTCCCACCCTCAAGGAAATGCAGGCGCTCAAGCCCCTACTTGTTTTGGTTTGGGGAAGCATTTGCAAACTTTAATTTCTAACTCTTCAGACAACAGAATTATCTGATGTTTCCCATCGAGGCATCAACTTCATTAACAGGAATATTAATTTTCAAGGAAAATGAGGCAGAGCTGCTCCTAGGACCGCAGCCAGGAAAATATTTAAGAGTTGGCTAATGAATATTTTGGTTGGAATAAAAGCAAATTACATTGTTTCCAGCACAATAACTTTTAAAAACATTAAGTAACAACAGAATCATTCTTAGTCAAATGCTCCATTATCTGCAAGTGGGTTATGGACCTTTGGCTGCTCACATAAGCGAGGGAAGTTGGGTTTGGCTCCTGGATTATGCCTGGAAGAAGTTTACAGGCTGCCCAGTCATAGCTAGCATGTCCTTTGCACCCACACTTACATGCAAAGCCACCAGGCAGAAATKATAGAAATGTATTTCAAAATTACTTCCAATGAGCAATTAATGCTCTATGCTGATATATTTCYACAGCAGAAAAAAATACTGAGTTCTTCTCTGTTTGGATGAACTCAACCTAAAGAAACTCCCACACAGTGAATGCTGGAGAGAAYTAGAAAATGAAGCAATGAACTTGAAGTATTTCAAAACACTTATTGTAGAGGTTGAAAGAGGCAAGACTGAGAGCAGAGATGCACCTCCATGTAAAGGGAATCATTCTTGCACAGTTAGAGCAGAAGATGGTACAAGGTGAGGAGCACAGGCAGGAGATTTGGAAGGTATCAAGCCTGGGAGGCACAAGGTCTTAAACATATATTCTGACCTGATTTTACACTACTTGTATAGTCTGAGTTTATGCTGGAATAAACTCAAAGGGAATTCTGCAACCTCAGCCAATTTACCATTAAAGCTTTAACTGCATTGTGATATGAAGAGGTCATCACAATACAGGTTGGGGCACTGTCTAGGTTAGAGACAGCATGTGGCATGAGATACATACAGATACAGATATATTCAAAAAGAAGCTTATAAATTTGTCACTTGAGAGAAATAATGCAAGTGCCATAACTAAGTCCTCAACAGTCACTGTCCTAGAGGGAAAATATTTTAAATTACAAAGGACCAAAGTTAATTCTGGGCTAATGCAATAGGCTGACACCAGAGAAAAAAAAAATGGCCCAAATACAACTGATTCTCTATGTACACCAAATACTGTACTCATCTGAAATYCTAGACACAAGGCCTGCACACAGAAAATAAGATGCTATTAAAGAAAGTCCTTGTGCAGCAGCAAAGTCAAATAAACTATACAAATGAAAGAGAAAAAAAAAGTGAACTCTGTGCTATGTACTTTCTGAGAAGCTGGAAGGAAGCAGGCAACAAGTAAAATGAAGCCTATAAGGTAGAAACTGTTATCTCAAGATGGCAGTTCCACTGGAGTATGAGACAGGAAACACTGGACGGAAGCTCTGATTGAAGATCCTTCCCACTCAACAGAGCTCACATTAAGCCACCAAAAAGCAACCTTTTGCTGTTGGGGACTGACAGGGGGCAGAAGGACATCCAACAGAAGGACAACCATCACAGTAATCCCTGGCCATTTGTTTTATAGTCACGGTAGAGGTGATTTTTTTTCTCTCCTGGTAATGTCATGATGTCATGTAATAAACATGGAATGGCACAAGTCAGCTAGACCTGCTTGCCTTTAAGGAGATTTTGATTTCCTATATTTCCTATAACGTTGTATAAATATATATCTAGATAATATGAATAATATAATTCATTCAGCATTAAATAAATATGAAAGTATGTCCTCAAGTCACATTTTCATGTGGTGGTGTCTAACACGAGGTGCTTCTTTTCCAGTCCCRTAGCTGACTGCACACATACACCCCACGCCATGGGCACGCAGCAAGCTAAAGTAAAATGTCCACCAGAAGCATATATCCATCAAAACTTTACTATCATCTTAATATTCTTGGTTGCTACAGATGCCAAAGAAAATCTGGGACATAATCCAAAAATATTTTTTATCCTTAAATAAAGCCCAGACACATGGTTACAATACATGCACAAGATGCAAGATCAAAAGGAGTGAAAAACTGAAAAAGCAAAGACAGAGAAAAGGGAAGAAAAATACTGCATATACATATGAAATTAAAAACAGTTTGAAACAATGATGAAGAGGATCACTGTCCTGAAACTACTGCTTTGAGACGATGGTGAATTTTAATGAACACTTGAAACTAAAATGCATTTAACTACCTGACTGGTTTCCTTTCTGAAGAAGCTGGCATTTCGTAACACAAAACAAGTCAAGAGTTTCAAAATTCAGGCTAAATCATAACAGATCACTATACTTGTAAGAGCAGGACCCAGATCAGCTCGCACACCTGCCTGGGTTCCCGCAACTCTGCCCTGCCAGGAAGGCAGCAGGTCCACACCTCCTCCAGTCGCAGTACCAAGAGCAGTACCACCATGCTCAACCATAAGCTCACCGTTCTTGAAATCCTGATACTGATTAGATGTCTTGGTTCCTTTTTCCTTACTCAGCTGTCCTGGTGACCACTTCTGAAGAAAACAACTATTTTAAAGGATTCCTGAGCTTAGATTTTTCCTGGCTGAGGTCTGTCCCTGGGAGAGGGGGGACACTGGTTGAAGGGAATTTTACCTTTGGGGCTGCAACCTTGTCATGCACAAACCTTACATGGCGTCTAAGTACTTTCCTGGCTATGGAACAAATGATGAAAATGCAACTCTTCAAGAGCAAGAAAGACACTTATAAAAAAACAAACCAACATTTGCCTAATAACCATTAGTTTAAAAGGCTTGTATCATCACTTTGAATGGCTCTTACCAGTGGGACCATACAACTGAGTTCACATTGTTCCATACTGTTCAGCTGATAAATGCACTAATTCACTCCTCAGTTTTTTAATCCCAGTTACATATATTCTCATTTTCCTTAGGAAAAAATAAACAAAAGCCTAAAGTCAAAAGAATATTGAGCAGAAAATAGTAGACTCCAAGGGYTGGAAAAGCAAAGCTGCTCACTGAACAGAAGGTGCTTTTGTCAAAAGTAAAGAGTACAGAAACCTTAAGTTATTTAGGCCCACACTTGTGCACTCCTGAATGCAACTACAAGTGATGTCCTCTCCACACAGGTGTCTATTCTCCCTCCCTGGCCACGTTATCTTGGGACCCACCAGGTTATAGCTGTGCACTGACTCCCTGAGATTTAAAAAGACAAAAAAAAAAAGATTTTATGCTAAAAATTGTGGAGTTAGTTACACAATTAAAGTTGAAGTTCACTTGTGGCCACAAATGTTGGAGAAGTCTGTCTGTTTCGAAGGCACAACTACTCCTTGAATGTATTTTTGCTTCTCTCTGTTCTACCACACAGTGGTCCAGTTTGACCCCCAGTTATTTACAGACACCACTGTTGGTCACTCCTGCAATGCAAAAAGGTCTAAACGAACCTCAGCAGTCACCAACATCACTACACAAGAGTTTACGGTGAGAACTGAAGTACAGATCACATGGGGAGTAGTCAGAAACAACCATCACATAATTATTTCAACAAGAAGTTTGATGAAGAAATAACAGCCAAATTAAATAATCCAGTCATTGAAAAGTAAGAGTTACATAGAAAGAAAGTCAATATGAAAAAAACAAAGAAATCTGGATCAAAATGTTAAAATCCCTTTTTTTTTTTTTAACTAGAAGTGAGAAAATAGATCAGCTGCAATGCCGGCCTGTTCCAGGCAATGCTCTTTAATGAAAATCAAATTAAAGCACCCACCCTTTTAGAAGCATGAATAGGATATGTGGATGGGCACTAATGTATTCCACAGTAGGGCTGCGTGTGCCAATTTGTCTTCTCAAGATATTGTTGAATATCTGGGAAACGTCCTTTTTGCCCTGTTAAAGAAGAGAAATATATCTTTGCTTAGAGACACGAGCAAATTACCATTTACTGTAATACCTATTTAGAGTATAAATTAAATTGAAAACAGAACAAGTCAGTCTTCTTTTTTTCTCCGCAGTCTCACCACTTCTTATTTGCTGTTTCTCCAGTGCCACAAGAATGCTTCCTCCTTTGGGTGGCACTGAAGGCTCCTCACTGCCCCACTGCACCTTTCTTTTCCTAAATGAAGATGTRCATTCCTCTCACATTGTCAAGTAAGTCCCTGGCTATTTTTAATAGCAACACTAAAACACCATAAAAGCAAGGCACCTCCCTGAGCCAAGCATGCTGCTGACGTGTACTGTCACTCCCGTAGCCTCCAAATGTAAGTTATCAAGCTGGTACCAATACACTGCCACAGCACCTGTGCTTAAAAACCTAAAGCTTTGCATTAATCAAATGCAACAATGCCAAGTGTGATTGCATTTCTGAAAATCAGGGTTAAATTTAAACCGTGCCCATTATTTACCATGATAAAAGAAATTACTACCAAGAAAACAGCTGCATCACATACATGTCTCTGCTTTAATCAAAACAAAGATCCTTCTCTTTGTCCTAATTTTGTGCTGTATGCACCTTTCTACATAATCACTCTTGTCTTCAAATGCTTCCCTGTGCAAACAGCTTTGCAGAAGGTCTTTCCAAATCAGRTTCTATTCAGCCACAGGGTTCACCAATACATCTTGCATTAGAAATCCTCTTCCTCCCCCATTGCTTTCCCCCCTGGCATAACAGACAAATTGAAGTGTGAGGTTAAAGGAGGTGGGAGACGGCTGCACTTAAGGACCAGTAACCAAGGCACTGAGTCAACAGCAGGTCACTATGCATAGGGCAAGCTAAAGCAAAAGGTCACTTATAATCTGTACATGCTCATTGATCTGTCTTGGGAGGAAAAACATTCCTTGGCAGAGAACTTATGGACTGTTTGAAGCCAAGGAGCAGATAGTTTCACACGGAGGAAAATTCCCTGGTTTCACCTCTACAAATAAATCACTGCTGAGAAACACAAGATATTCTGCTCTTCTACTTGTTCCAGCCCAGCTGGCTTGGAGACTTGGAGACTTAGGGAATTAAACAGGAGAATCAAATCAGAGCAGGCCAGTCCATCTGCTTTTGTCTGAAACACTTTTTTTGACCCTTGGACATCCTTGCAAGTAGGCTAATTCTGAATAAAGTAATTCTCCCCTATCTTCACAACACCCGTATTATATGCCTGCAATCCTGTGATCCCCAGGGGCTTCAGCAGCTACTCCAAAAAGAAAACAACCCAGAAGAGAAGAGCTGTTGAAAGGCTGAGTTAAAGATGGCCAAAAATTAAGTTATCCTCTTTGCTATGCCAAATTTTATATTAGTTACCTAATACTGAGTGCATTGCTGCATAATATCTACAAGCAGAGAGGAGACAGATATAGATATTATATAGATATATGTATCCAATTAGAGTTAATTTTCTAGAGATCACTGATAGTGAAAATCAGAGTTGATCTCCTTGCATTCTCCAGGAGGGAATGGAGGCAGATAGGAGGGAACCAAGACAGACTTCCCTCACCACCTGATATGCATTAAAATTGTAGGAGTACTTTTAAAATACTCCTTACTTGGATCTGCAATCAAATTCTACCTTATCATGAAATACACATGGCCCCTGAAGCACAAGATAAGGCAGCATGAATAGAAAGTGGCTGCACAAGGACAGAAAAAACCTGCCAAGGACGTAATCTATAAATAAAAAATTGTATGATACCTATACCATAATTTAGCTCCTGTTTCAAGGCAAAATAAGGGAAAAGTTGTAGCATCACAAGTCACAGGCATGCAGTTATTTGCTGCCTATTTTAGAGGCTTTACAGTTTGTGAATCTTTAGGCTTACACACAGTAACATCTACATTTTTATTGACTTTGTGTGCACTTGCCTCAGTTCTTCAAAGTTCAAAAATAAATTTCATATTTTAAATGTCTAAAAAAAAGGCTGATCTTGATTCTAGTCTTCTGCCCAAACCTGACTTCAATGCTTCATAACATCATCAATGAAATTACATCTTGTTTCTTTAGTGGTAGAAGCAATAAAGCTGTGTTTTCTATGGACATGTGATGGATGTGTGCAAGTCTCTCCTATGCAGTCTTAGAAAACACATCTTCAAAGGGAAGTTCGGCTGTGAAAAATTGGGATGAAAGTGTGTAGCAGGATTGGAGARGAGGAGACAGGGAGTCAGGACAAAGCAAAGTAACATTATTGCCTTCAGATATCAGATTTTCAGTAATTTATTATTTGCTTTCAACCATTACATACAGATCAGAAGATTAACTTGCATGTTATAGAGGGATGAAATTGTTTGCTCAACAAAGAAACTTAAATACCAGCTGTGGCCACCAATATAACAAAATGGAAACAGAAAAGTTGATAAACTGGAAAAGGCAGTGGGAACATGAAGACAAAGCAACACATGCTCTTACTGTCCTCTTGTTCAGTGACATTTCATTTCTACTGAAACAGAAATGTGTAACAGCTTGGCTAAATGATTGGAATGATTTTGCAATGAAAAAATCTTTTTGCAATAAGAATCATTTGATTTTTTTTGTAATAACAGCCATTTAGCAACAGATCAAGTATTTCATCCAGTGCTTGCTTGGGTTGTCGGGTTTTGAGTATTTTTGTAATTAAGATATTTAACAGTAACCAGAGGTAGCACAGAGAAGACAAAGGAAAGGTTCTCACTAAATTCTAGCATTAAAAAAATTCTCCTGAACTTAAGACCTGAGCAAGAGTGAACGAATTCCCATTACCAACATTTTAAAAAATTAATACAAAATAAATAAATCAGTCCTTGATCCTAGATTTACTGCGGGTAGGGGACAGAGTGGGAAAAAGAAAACATAAATCATCCATTTTCCTCCCTTTCTTTCATTTAGAAAGTGGAAAGAAAATAACTTCTACATGTGACTCCCACAAAAGCTGTCTCTGAGAGCATCAGATCTCTTTGAGAAACTGATTTTCTCTTTAGCCACTGCCTGTACATTGGCTATTGCTCCTGTTTCACACCTCAGCGGTGGAGGTTTGGCTCCTGGGAACTGGGGATTTCCCACTGATGGTCAGGCACTTGTGAGTCACCAGCGCCCAGGAGTCACAGAAATCATGGAACTTGTAACAGCAATCCCTGGGGGCCACTATCCCAGCTGATTGTAAACCGCAATAATATGACAATGACCTGACAGTGGCAGAGTTTATTCCCATCCGTATCAGTCAACAGTCAATTAAAAGAGTTTATATTTATCTTGAGTTACTGCAATCTTTGCTACTATAACTCTTCTTCTCCTTGCTTATAAGCAAGTTTAGCTGTCTTAGTACTAGGTTTTTGGCTTTAGCTGAAAAGAAGTTCCACAGAATATATAATTTTATATATAAATATATAAAATTAAACACTATATATACATATACACTCATATTGATCCTTCTGCCATGAAAAGAAAAGTTATATGCTTTTCCTCTTTTAATCTAAACAATTAAGTGGGGTACGTCCAAACTACATTGTGACCTGGTGTCTGGTTTTAACATATTTTTCAACTCCTTTCATCTCAACTAAACCATTCTAATTCTTTTAGTGTTTGTCACATGACATTTTCCATGCTTCCAATTATTTTTATTCCATGTCCCTGAACCCCTTGTTAATCAGGCACACTCTTCAGAGACAGCAACAAAGATCATCCCTACAATGTTGGTCTTAGTCACTATTCTCAGCACCATTTCCTATCTTCTGCGGATACACATGGCAATATTTCTTTATTGTTTCTGTTTCAATTAAAAAAAATCAGATTTACTGCCAGTGTATGAGTATGTCTTTCAGGACACCAACCAATGCAGAGCAGCTACTTTCTTCAGCCTGTCAAAAACAGTTTTGAATGCAATGAAATTATTTAGACTTCAAAAAAAATACAGCACTACTCACTGACAACAACAAAACCAAGGAGCTGACCTACCTCAAAATCTATCAGCTGCAGGTTGGCAATAAGCGTCACTAGAAGGCCACTGTTGTAGAGCTCTTGTGCCAGCTGGGCCACAATTTCTGTGGGTGGCTCTTTGTCTGTGGTTCCACACAGAATTTCCTTCATTGCTTGCAGGGATTTTGACACTTCCTCAGATGCCTTTTTGCCAGCAGATAATGGGTTTTGTTTAAGGAAAAAACAAACAGGGGAGAAAAGGGGGTTCTTTTAAAAGGCATGCATTTCAAAGCAATTATTTCTGAATGTACTTAACAACAATCATGTACTACACAACAATCACTGCGAAATGACTTAATAATTTTAGGCAATCCTGGGGGCTGGAGCACCCATACTGTATCCTGCAGGCCTTACACAAGATAAATTCAATTTATACATGGCATACCATCACTTACAGACCACGGGCATAAAATAGGACCAAGAAAGCTATTACCAGCCAGTGCCAGCAAGATCCTTTAACAGGTTTGGAGGCAGGCACTGCCCTGTTGAAGCAGCAGCACTCTGACTGTTGCTCCCCTTGTCCTCCCCAGTGGGTTCCATTGGCACACATGGGGCCAAAGAGGTGCAGATGAAGGTGAGGGGTGGCTGCTGGGCTGCCTCCCCATCCATTCCCTCATGGACTGTCCCAGCTCCTCTGCTGGGAACCCCAATAAATCCTTGCAGCCCTGTGGCACTGCTTAACCYGGCAGGCAGCTGAACACCACACAGCCACTTGCTCACTCCCCCTCAGTGGGATGGAGGAAGGAACTGGGGGGGGAGGAAGTAAGTTCGTAGGTTGAGATAAAGATAGTTTAATAGGACAGAGAAGAAAGGGGAAAATAGTAGCAATAACCACAACAACAACAATAAAAATAACAATAATGATAAACAAGTGATGCACAATGCAGTTGCTCACCACCTAATGTCCAGCTGGTTCCTGAGTAGCTGCCCCAGGCCAGTGTTCCCCCCAGCTTTATATACTGAGCATGCCATGTGATATGGAAGTCCCTGTCCCAGCTGTGTCTCCTCCCAGCCTCTTGTGCCCCCAGCCCGCTCACTGATGGGATGGGGTGAAGAGCAGAAAAGGCTTTGACTTAGTGTAAGTCCTGCTCAGCAACAACTAAAATGTCAGTGTGTTATCAACTTTGTTCTTACCCTAAATCAAAAACACAGCACAGTACCAGCTACCAGGAGAAAACTTAACTCTATCTCAGCCAAAGCTTGACAGCTTTGCATTGCCACTCCCTATTTCTTCTCATCAGGTGTGGTTTGAGCCAGCATTTTCTGCAAGTGATTTGCTTAGTGAGCACACAGGCACTTCAGTCTCAGGTTGAAAAATTTTAAATTAAACTATTTGCTTTAGTAAAGCTTCACAGCTGCCACCAAGTGAAGTAAAACAAATCTCTCACAACTCTAGCGTATACCAATCCTGTGCAATGTTTCAGGTACTAATGTAGAGGATGAATCAGGAATTACCTCGCAAAGTATCTTGACCAGCAAGGTTACAACAGGGAAAGGAAAGAGACACGCCTGTAAGCAGGTTTACAGCTTAGAATTCATGACAGTCAGAAGGTTTAAATCAGGTGTAAGTGATAATATCCCACTTCCGAAGGAAAATGACAGCTGGCTGCAGAATGGCAGCTCTGGCTCCCGCTCTCCTCACAGCTTTGCTTCACTTTCAACAAATGAAGACTCTGTGGAGCAAAGGTGTCATTTTTTCATGTGCATGTGTGTGCTTTAGATACCAGCTGCTTCAGTCACCAGACTACAGAGGCAATGGCTTCTTCTGGGTTGGGTTATATTTATTACACACATGACCTGCAGCAACGCTGATTGGATTCTTTGTCAGGGAGTGGGAAGGAAGTAAGGAACAGGTTTGAAAGCAAAGCTGAAAATTACAGCCAAGTGCCAAGCAAGATGCTGAAGATAGGACAGCATTTCACATCCTTGCAAAAGCTTTACTTGAAATCAGCCTTTTGTTAGCTTAGCAGGTGAAAAAAAATCAGGACACATACAGAAAACCCAAGAGTGATCTGTAAAACCTAACTGGACATTACAGGATTTTCAAAGCCAGATCAATAATTTCAATATATCTTTCACATATATTGAAAGGAAAAACATCATGCTTTCAAATACTACACCATCAATCTGCATAAAATAACCCCACAGTGCTCTGAAGAGGCATCTCTCACCTGCTGCTGATTTCCCAACACTTCAATATTGATTTTAATCACAGATTTTATTCACAATAGTGAATAAAAATCATAGATAAAACCTAGAAATCATAAAAAGTCCTAACCACAATAAAAAGCCACTTTCACATTGCATCTAACTGCAATGTTATTGTTATTCAAGCATTGATTTTGCACAGCCTAAAGAACTGCTCTCCTCCAATCTCTTTGTACCTACTCTGAGTCTTGTGCTAGTTGAGACAGGTCAGCATGAGCAGTGTGTAAATGAGCATGACTATGTGATAACTTCAAACTGCAGAAGAACTTGATGTTCCTTACCATCACTCAGCAAAAGAGCCTTTTTTTACCTCAAATGTTAGTGGTGTGTCACTTGAGATATCCCACAGAGTATACATGGGATTAACAACAGGAGTGCTATCTTGGAAACCAAAACTCTAAATCTTTATAAGACCTGAGGAAATATTTTAATTTCAAAGGAAAAACCTATACATTTTTGGCTTTCTACCCTTTCTGCTGGGCTGGGTGTGAATATCTCTAGCATTCTGTAGTTAAAAGAAAAAAAAAATTAATAAGTTTCCTTTCAAGTATAAGTAGTCTTTTCTGATATGTAGAAAAAAGGCCTGCAAGACTAAGCTTTAGGTTTAATTCTCAAAAAGGAGTCCAAAAAGTAAAGCACTGTGAGAGAATGAAACATAGAACACTGGTGCTGGTGGACAGAACTGGGCATCACAGCTGCATTTCTCTAATCACCTGCCTTCCCATCCACTCATCTCCTCAGCTTTCCCACATGTAATTTACATTTCATGTAAATTCATGTAACTTTCTGAACCCTCACAGCCTCTCCATAGTCTGTGTTTGACATACAACTCGCCATCAAAAGTTATTCCCAGTCAGATCTAAGGAGCACTCCTCAGTGCCTATCCCTCACAATGTATCCAGACGAAAACCATAATCCTGAATACAGATTCTTAAATAAACAGCCTCCATTTAGACATTTCCACTTAATCTTACAGCAATTTTAGAGTAATACCTTAAGTATATGAGCACTGTTTCTGGGATGGAAACTTTCTTAAGACTCAGAGAAAAAAGACATTCCGAGATCCAAAGACCCAAGATCTGTCCAAAACAAACAACAAAGCATGTTTATTCACTCAAATATATGGAAAATACAAGATGACAAACTTATTTGCATAAGAAGTCAGACCAGTCCTGACCCTCTTCAGGAAAATTTGCAAAAACCAACAAAAAGCCTCAGCAAGACATCCTCCCCACATAACATAACACAATAATGTGTCATAAACACAATTTCAGTGAAAAAAAAAAAAAAAAGGATTTGCTAGAAACTCCTAAGTCTATTATGACTTTCATGCTACTTTTTATTTTCCGTCAGTGGCAACAGCAACAATAATGAAGTCCTGCAACCATCGCCTCAGCAGAAGTTACAGAACAAAAGAGTTTCATGAAATATCAAAGAATTTCARCCATTCACCTCACTCTTGCAATAAGGTGCAATCTTATTTCCAGAAGATTTTCCTTTTTTCCTCTAGCTACAAGTTCTTTTATACTGAATTTATGCCATCACATTTAGAGAGGCTGTTGTGAATGGAGGGGACAAAAAGAGGAAAGGAGAAAATGAAACTCATAATGCTAAACAGAACTTTAGAGCTTATACATATTACATACAAATGTCAAAAGTGGGATACGCTGAACTTTGGACAATCAAAAGTTGCAGATAGGGACAACAAAGCAAGGGTGAAATGCAAGCTGATTCCCAGCACATGCGTGAGTTTAGCATTTGCATCACTGTCCCTGCACAGATGTCAGGATCTCAACCGCCTCAGCCATGTGTCTGGGCTTTCCAACAAGAACTGACTCTGTATCCACAGAGTAGTTTATAGTGACCACCAGCCCACAAGAGGTTTTTGGGGCCATTTTGAAAGACACGATCTTGGGTAAATGTTGAGATATAACAATCTTTGGATTGCTCTGCTAACCCTACTGGACTAGATGATCTACAATAGCCTTGGAGATGGAAAACAGACAGCATAGGTAAGCCTGCATAACTTCCCCATGCTAAATTATAAACAGGTTCAACATCAGCTGATTTTTTGTCAGCGTTTATGTGTCTTTCTAAACCTACCAACAGCTTAAACCAGAGTTGGAAATTTTCTAAGTTGAAGATACTTGTCTCAGCTTATTTTCCTCACAGATCAAAGTTTTGTCACTGTTGATTTGGTGGGAACATAATATGAAGGAGTTTGGATAAATTATTCCCTAAAATTCTATATGAAAAAAGTCTTCCTGAAAGACTGGTTGATCTTCATGTGTGGGATAGGCTGCGGAGAGGAGAGTCATAAGAATATGGCAAATAGGACCATACAGTTTCTGTCTGTGTACCTAGCACATTTCCAGGTTGAAAATCTCTCTGTAAACTGTTGCTCTCTTGCACAGCAGCAGACAGTAACACACAGAGATGCCTGCCAGCGCGATGTTAAGTACTCCAACGTGTGATTCAGTGATCTGCCAGTACTCCATAATGTATATTGCAACTAAAAGCATAAAGCTCCTTGATTCAGTCTTATCTGGCTCAAAAATATTCTCTCTGTGTGATTCAAACCAGTTTTTCTCCTAAAAAAATAGTGTCAATGCAGCTTTCTCTACATGCAACTGTAAGGATTCCCAGAAAAAGCCATTAGCAGAATCTGAATCTAAAAACCATGTAACTTCAGGATTACCCCAGCTGACTCATTCTTGATGCATTTTCATGCTAAATGGATCTTCAGGGCCAAATTTTGGATATTTTGGATCAGGAGGCCTGAAGTTTGTCATTTAGCAAAAAAAAATTATGGACTAGTACTCAAGGAAGCTGGCAAATACAATTTGGCCAAGCAGGCACAACAGGGAAACGCCTTTTAAAAGGATGCGTGATTAAATGGAGAGGACAGGTTTGCCCCACCTGGACATAAATTCCTT